AGCTAAAGTCCTTGCCTTGAATGTGCCAGGATCCCATATGGGCGCCAGTTCTAATCCTGGCTGCCCTACTTCCCATCCAGCTCCCTGCTTGTGGCCTGGGAAAGTAGTCGAGGGTGGCTAAAAGCCTGAGGTTCCTGCACCACGTGGGAGACCTGGAAGAAGTTCCTGGCTCCTGGCTTTGGATCAGCGCAGCACCCGCCACTGCGGTCACTTGGAGAGTAAATCATCGGACAGAAGATCTTCCTCTCTATATATCTGACTTTGCAATAAAAGTAAAATAAATCTTAATAATAAAAAAAGAGAGAGAAAGATCTTCTGTCTGCAGGTTCACTCCCCAAAATGGCACAATGTTCAGAGCTGAGCCAGTCTGAACCCGGGAGCTTCCTCTGGAGTCTCCCACGTGGCTTCAGGCCTCTTGGGCCATCCTTGACTGTTTTACCAGGCTACAAGCAGGGAGCTGGATGGCAAGTGGAGCAGCTGGGTCATAAACAGCACATAAATGGGATCCCAGTGCTTGTAAAGGGAGCATTAACCAGTTGATGGAAGGGACATTCCCAGGGGCAAGCATTGTGGCATAATAGGTAAAGCTGTCTACCTGTGATGTAAGCAACCTTTATGGGTGCTGGTTTGAGTCTTGGCTGCTCTACTTCTAACCCAGCTCCGTGCTAATGCACCTGGGAAAACAGCAGCAGATGACCTAATTGCTTGGGTTCAGTCCTGGAAGTGTTTCTCTCTCGGGGGGGGGGGGGGGGGGGGACAAGAAAGAAGAAAGAAAGGAAGCCAGTGCAGTGGAATAACTACCTAAACTTCTCCTGGAGCTCTGGCATCCCATGTGGGCACTGGTTCATGTCTCAGCTGCTCCACTTCCCATCCAGCTCCCTGCTTATGGTCTGGAAAAGCAATAAAGGAAAAGAACTGGCACTCATATGGAATCCAGGTGGTTCCAAGGCAAGGATTTAGTCACTATGCTACTGCACCGGGCCCAAAATAATTTTTAAGAAATATTTATTTTACTTGAGTCATAGATACAGAGAGAGAAAGGGAGAGACAGCTTCCATCTGCTGGGTCATTCCCAGAATGGTCACCCACGGCCAGGGCTGGACCAGTTCAAAGCTGAGACCCAGGAGCTTCTTCTGGGTCTCCCACACGGGTGCAGGGTCCTCAAGGCCATGGGCCATCCTCTACTGCTTTTCCAGGCCACAAGTAGGGAGCTGAATGGGGAATGGAACAGCCAGGACTAGAACTGGTGCTTATATGTGATGCCGACACTGGAAAGGATCAGCCTGCTCTTCCACTGTGCCAGACACATTGAGAAAATACTAGAAAAGGAGAGACACTGTATTTTCAAAGAATATGTGTTTTTAAAGGGCTTATTTTATTTATTAGAAAGGGAAAGAGAGAGAGAGAGAGATCTGCTGGTTCCTTCTCCAAGTGACTACAATGGACAGGGCTGGCCAGGCTGAGCCCAGGTCCTCTGCAGGTATGGCAGAAGTCCAAGCACTTCAGCTAGCATCTATTGCTTTCTCAGGTGCATCAGAAGGGAGCTAGATCTGACGTGAAACAGCTGGGATTCAAACAGTACTCAAATGGAATACTTACAGTTCTTCAAATCACGTTACCTGTTAAAGGACTTGTATCTGAAATGTTTAAAAAAAAAAAAAAGGGCCCGGCGCGGTGGCGCAAGTGGTTAAAGTCCTCGCCTTGCACGCCCGGGATCCCATATGGGCGCCGGTTCTAATCCCGGCAGCCCCGCTTCCCTTCCAGCTCCCTGCCTGTGGCCTGGGAAAGCAGTCGAGGACAGCCCAAGGCTTTGGGACCCTGCACCCGCGTGGGAGACCCGGAAGAGGCTCCTGGCTTCGGATCGGCATAGTATCGGCCCGTTGCGCTCACTTGGGGAGTGAATCATCGGACGGAAGATCTTCCTCTCTGTCTCTCCTCTCTGTATATCCGCCTTTCCAATAAGAAAATAATAAAAATAAATCTTTTTTTAAAAAAAAAAACTCTTAAAACCCATTAACAAATAGTAGATGACTGAAAACTGTCGCTAGATTGGCAATGTAATCTGGTTCATATCCTGGCTGCTCCACCTTCCATCCAGCTCCCTGCTTGTGACCTAGAAAAGCAGTAGAGCACAGCCCAAAGCATTGGGACCCTGCACTGGTGTGAGAGACCCAGAAGAATCTCCTGACTTCAGATCAGCTTAGTTCTAGCTGTTGCAGCCATTTGGGGAGTGAACCAGTGGAAAGAAGATCTTTTTCTCTCCATCTCTCCTTCTCTTCATAAACCTGATCTGCCTTTCCAATAAAAATAAGCTTGAATATACATATATACCTATTTCATCATTAAGTGCAGAAGCACAAGGGGACATTCTGTCTTCATTGCAATCTTACCTGGGCATCTGAGATAAAGCCCATCAGCTCCAAGGGCTTTCTGCCTCTTGTATAAGGCCAAGAGTGTCAAGGGTATGAGTTCTGTAGTTATTGAAACATGATAACAAGAAGAAAACAGCAAAATAAAAAAAAGATAAAAATAAAAAACTAAACCAAAAAAGTAATATGATAACAAATAAAAATAAAGGGGCCTGGTACGATAGCCTGGTGGCTAACATCCTCACCTTGCACATGCTGCAATCCCATATAGGCACTAGTTCTAATCCTGGCGCCCTGTTTCCCGACCAGCTCCTTGCTTGTGGCCTGGGAAAGCAGTTGAGGATGGCCTAAAGCCTTGGGACCCTGCACCAGTGTGAGAGACCCAAAAGAGGATCAGCTTGGCTTCAGCCTTTGTGGCCACTTGGGGAATGAATTAGTTGATGGAAAATCTTGCTTTCTTCTGTTTCTGCTCCTCTCTGTATTTTTTTTTTTATCATTGGCTCTACTTAAGGGAATATGATTTCTGCACATCCCCATTATTTATCGCAGAAATACTTGTCACCTGGATACTGTGGCTCAAACGTTTGCTAGAACGTGATCAAGATCCAGTAACTTCTTCAGGATAGCCAAGTGGAAGTGGCGACCACACACGCACAGAGGAAACGAGCAATCACAAAACAAGAATAAAGTCCTTTGATGGATAAATCTAGGGAAGGTAGAAAAGCAAAACCAGTCTTGTGGGACCAGTAAGGGTTTCCTAAGACAAGCTGGGTTTGAGATTTGAAGGACAAATTGGCCAGAGGAGTGCTGAGAGAGAGATGCCGCTTGGAGGAGTTACAGGTGCAGGAAACTGCAGGGAGCTGGAACTGAAGAGGGCAGAGCTGGCTGAGCTGCTCGAACCCTGCACAGCAGGAGTTGGCGGCTTGCTGAAGGTTTTGGAATGCTCCAGGGGGTTTGGCACAGAGAATGGTGTGAGGGTCTTGTTGTCTCACCAACATCTTTCCAGCTGCAGAAAGGGAGGGCAGCCTGAAGGTGAAGGGAAATGAATGCAGAATAAACTCATTAGGAGGTTGTTTCCGGAAGCCAGATGTGTCTCCCAGGATGGTGTGGATAATTGCAGCTAATATCCAGAGCCCCATTATCTCATTTAATCTTTGCAGCTCTGCAAGGGAAATATAATTACCCCTATTTACAGATGGGGAATCCAAGGATCAGGAAAGCGAAGTAATTGCCCACAGTCGTATGGTAAGTGGTGGTTGCTGAGAGAGTGAGGTAGACGGATTTGTGAAACATTTAGCAAGTGGTGTGGGCATGACTGAATGACTGATTATGCAGTTAATATTCTCTACCGGCTTGGGGAGAGTGGCTAAGGGAGCAGGGGTTAAATATGACATGCTAGCTTCTGCAAGTGAATCAGGTGGGGAGTAGGGCAAGTCGGGGTCCGATCTCAGGGTGTCTGTCTGGTCATTCTCAAGCAGAGCTGCTTAGAAGGGACTGCAGGGGCTGGTGTGAAACTCCAAGTGAGATCTGGGTGTCACTGGCCTCAGTCTCTCCCAGAAACACAGGTAAGTAGAATGACCTTTGCAGAATCTAGGAACCAACGAGCCACAAAACTGTTTCAGGTCATCGCAGGGTCATTTCCTCCCACTAATTTTACTGTCTTTCACTAAGGTCTCTATTGCAGAGGAAAGCATCTCACCAAGCTTTCAGAGTGCCCTTTTCTCCCTGGGGCAGGGAACTTCCCTCACGAGGGGAGCACCATTGAGGGAATTAGCATTTCCTTGAGCTCAGCAGGGCTCCAGCGGCCAGGGCACGCAGCCCTAACCTACCCTAGCCTCCTAGACACCAGTTAAGTCACAGGTACAGCTCAGTATAATGATGATAATGGAGAGATATTACCATATCAAGCACCTCAGAGGGGAGGCTACACCTCCAGCTGTCCTGGCACTGCCCCCTTTAACTTTCCTTCCCAGCCATCAAAAACACTGAGCTTGCAGAAGGGAATTTTTTTTTAAGAAAAAAAAATTTTTTTAAAGCGTTTTCTTAATCTTAGCTATACCGCTAATTACAATTTTTCCTCCACATTTGTTTTTATGCCCCGTGTAAAGCATTTTCACCCCCTACTTCTGCTTAGGCTGGGCTTTCATTGAAAAAAAAAAGCTTCCCAAGAGAAAATTACTTGTACGTAATTTGAAAACTGGTGCCACTCCCTGGTAGTACATAATTCCTGTCTTAGGCAGACTGTGCCACTGTGTCATGAACAGAGAAGCCTTAATAGCTTCTAGGAGGTATCTCTGTTCCCAGAACCCAATCTTAGGTTAGAAACTATTTTAGCATTTGTGATGGGTACCCCCAAAATATCTCCTTAAAGTAACAAGGCTTTCTCTCATTTTTCCTTTTATGATGTGGGTTTTTTTTACCCTCTTCTCCAAAGCTAATGAGTCATCCAAACCACATATTTCCATGTTGCTTTTGTCACAAGAATAACCTTCTTAGGAAACTGTCCAGGTTTTTACCTTTGTCCAAAAATATAACAGTCAGTGGGCTGTACATAACACATCAATGTAACGACAGTCACCCCAGGTTTAAGGGATGGGATAAAAAAAATATTGCTAAAATAATTCTCGGGTCTTTTTTATTTTAAAAATTATACTTTTAATTATAGAATATTGTTAGAATAATACAGCTGTAGATAGACATTGGGATAACTGTAACCGATACCATAGGAAAACTGCTCTACATTCTTATGTGGTCATTCTCCCTCCACAACCATAGGAAGCAGGCACCGAGTGTTCAGGGTGTGTGCAAGAAGCAGGCAGGGCTTGGGAGCAGAAAGCATGCAAAAAGCATCAGCAAAAACAGCCTACTTAACTTCTGCACAAAGACCAGTGCAGCAGATGGCCAGCAATGGGCAGGACAGAGAAGCAGGGCAGGTGCAGACCTGGCCCTTCTCACTTCCCCGCGGAAGTGCATATGTACATGGAGATGGGTACTCAGCATCCTCTTCTTGAACCCTTTGCTACTAAGGAGCCAAAAAAACAGCAGCAGGAACAAGTTGGGGTGCAGCGAGAGAGCAGGGAAAAGAGGGAATGTGGTAATAATTAGGTCAAGAAGCTCCTGCCTTCCAGGGCCACTCCCAAGCCTCCTGCTGCAGTGGCTGACAGAAGCTTCTAGACAACCTTGATATCAATTAAAACCATCAGCAACACTGATATGGAAAAAGACATAGTCGCTTCTAGGTTACCAAGACTACATATGTCACCCAACAAAGTATGAATACCCAGTCAGAATGACAAAAGCATAACTTCTGCTTGACCCTGGATGGAAAGGGTGGCAAACGTGAAGGACGCCCTCTTGGTAGGGGTGTTCTGTTATCTTCAAAGCTGTGTCCCTTGCAAGTGATGGAGTCTCACTCAGCTGTAGGCCACTGTAGTGTACAGCTCACTATTGTGTATCACAGAACTGACCAGTGGCACCTTTCACACCAGATCCCAAAATAGCTGTTGCAAAGACTTTTTTTTTTTTTTAAATGTTACAGCATTCGGAGTGAAGCACAGTAGCAATAAACCAGGGTACTCTGAAAACATATTCCTTACTCCAATTCTGTCTCCTAGATACCAGTTTACTCCCACCACTACAAGGCTGAATAAGCGTTAACATTTACAGTATTTCTTAGTTCCTACTCCAGCTGAGATAAAGAGAACGGACACTACTGGGCTTAAAACAGGTTGGCTCCTACTTTAACCATTTATAGCTGTAGTTTGGGAGGTTAGAAATACATTCTTATTTAGGTTTATTAATTCTTCTGACAAGCCAGAGTTCTTCAAAACCATGGAACATAATTCAGTCTGGGAATAGGACATCCAACCTATCTGCCCAGTCATTATCTCCATAATTGAAGGATGCATACAAACAAAGGCTTAGTTCTATACACAGACAAAGCTTACAGGACAGTGCACACTTGAGCATTAGTGTTAAATTTTTTTCATAAGAATGAACACTAAGACATTTCTCACATTGGAGTTATGTCTGCAGTTCTGTCACATGATCCACATCACCCAAGAGCATGCTAATTCTGTGCAAATTCAGTTTCTGCTATGAGAAAAAAACCACAGGAATACACATTTCACTGTTAAGTATACATGCCCTTATGCAAGCTAAGATAAACACTGGGATGTGGTCCTTATGAAATCCTAGAGTTAGCAATACAGGGAGAACGGAACCTCAAGACTATGGGGGAAAGGACATAGAAATGACCCATGGTCCCTGGGAAAGGACTCTGCACTTCCTTCCCTGAAGTGGTCAATCCCACTTGCCCCTCACACACCACAACGTATGGTCCTATTTCTCCTTGAAAAGATCTTCCCCTCACAATGTACCCTGAAGTGTTTTCCAAAGAACATGTATATATTTGATAAACCCTAAAGTTACCACATTGATGGGTCCATGGTCCCCAAACCTATGTCTCATCTTTTCTCTCACATAATATCTTCAGTTATCTTTCACAAAGATGCAAGCTTTAAACAAGTTAATCACAAACAATGAGAAGGAAGAAAGTTAACAATCACTGCCTTCATCGTGCAGAATTCTGCTCTCAGGAAGATGGAGTAATAGCAATGTGTGAATGACTCAAGAAAAAAAAAAAGCCCTTTGGGTGGGAAGATGCATGTGCCCAACTACTATGGTGTGTGTGAACAGGTGTGGCAGCTGAGGCCCAGCCTCTGGCTGCCTTTTCCCGAAGTGGCCATGACCACCACCCTATTGCAATCCCATATTTCTATGGACGGAATTCTTTGGGCCCAGGATGAGCAGAATAACTGAAAGATTTATTCCATTTCTACCCCGAGCATTCAGCAGTATTTGTCCTGTGGTCTTCAGGTTTCCAATTACTTGTGGGGGCTGATCTTGAAGGGGGTAATCCATGGAGTGAATACAAATTATTATTCCGGAGGAGATAATGGTCCCAAATCCGAATGGCACATCTCATTTGGTATTTTAAACAGTGGCTTCAACTAAGAAAGTCACTAAAGTCATTGAGGAAGCCTTGAAGGGGCTCCTGGATAACATCAAACTGTACCTTCCGAGGAAATCCATTTGCAGTCACAATTACGGAACTCAATCCGTATGAACTCGCTTGTGTTTAATAAGAGCTGAGCTCCGGCTGAAACTCTTCTCGCACTCTGTACATTCGTAGGGCTTCTCTCCCGTGTGAACTCGCTGGTGTGTGATAAGGTTGGAGCTCTGGGTGAAACCTTTTCCACACTGCACACACTCGTAGGGCTTCTCCCCCGTGTGCGTTCTCTGGTGCTTAATTAGATCAGATCGCTCACCAAAGCTTCGCCAACACTCGTTACACTCGTAGGGCTTCTCTCCCGTGTGGATTTTCTGGTGGGTGATGAGATGCGAGCTCCGGCTGAAGCTTTTCCCACAGGCGTTGCACTCATAGGGCTTCTCCCCCGTGTGGGTTCGCTGGTGCTGCACCAGGTGGGATATGCGGCTGAAGTTCTCTCCGCACTCGTTGCAGTGGTATGGCTTTTCTCCCGTGTGGGCTCTGCGGTGGCGGACCAGATCAGAGTTCTGGCTGAAATTCTTCCCACATTCATCACACTTGTAGGGTCTCTCCCCCGTGTGGACTCGGTAGTGTTTGATCAGATCAGATCTCTCGCTGAAGCCCCGCCCACATTCATTACACTCATAAGGTTTCTCGCCTGTGTGCGTCCTTTGGTGCTGAGCCAGGTGCGAGCTCCGGCTGAAGCTTTTTCCACACTCCTCGCACTCATAGGGCTTCTCCCCACTGTGGGTCCTTTGGTGCTGGATCAGGTGCGAGAGTCGGCAGAAACTTTTCCCACACTCGTTACATTTGTGAGGCTTCTCCCCTGTGTGGATTGTTTGATGCTGAATGAGGTGAGAGCTTCTTCCAAAACTTTTCCCACACTCATTGCAGTCATAGGGCCTCTCCCCAGTGTGTGTTCTTTGATGCTGAATAAGGTGTGAGCTACGGCTGAAGCCCTTCCCACATTCATAACATTTATAGGGTCTGTCTCCAGTGTGGGTTTTCTGATGTCGATTCAGGTCTGAGATCTGACTGAAGGCCTTTCCACAGTGAGAACATATGTGATATTGGATCCCTGTGTGGACTTCTTTGTGGGCCAGCAGGTCGGTGACCTGTTGGAGAGGATAGCTTACCCATTCTTCTGCTGTGAGATCTCCCCACTGTCTTTCTGACCTATCCCCATTTTCAAAGACCTCTTCACTTTCAGCATTTTCCTCAGCATTTCCAACAGGCCTTTCAGATGCTGTCCCAAATTCTACATCTTCATTCATCTCTTGCTTTGGATTTACCTCGTTCTCACTCCTAATTTCAAAATCTGTAATAAAGAGTAAAGAAATAAGTAAATGTACTAAAGAGGTTCTCACTGTGTTCCAGGAACTAGCCTAAGTTCTTAATATGGTTACTTCAGTCATTTTTAAAAAAGACTTATTTATTTTGATTGGAAAGGCAGATATACAGAGAGGAGGAGAGGCAGAGAGAAAGATCTTCTGTCTGTTCATTCCCCAAGTGGCCGCAATGGCTGGAGCTGAGTCAATCAAAAAGTCAGGAGCCAGGAGCTTCTTCCGGGTCTCCCACGTGGGTTGCAGGGTCCCAAGGCTTTGGGCCGTCCTCCACTGCTTTCCCAGGCCACAAGTTGGATGGGATGCGTGGCTGCTGGGATTAGAACCGGTGACTATATGGGATCCCAGCATGCAAGGTGAGGACTTTAACCGCTATGCTATTGCGCCGAGCCCTACTTTATTCATTTTTATAGCCATCCTGAGAGTCATTCATTCATCTTATCCCAGAAAAGCCCAAACTTCAGTCACGTGCAATGACTTGCCAAAAGTAAATGGCAGACAGAGCCAAGCCTCCTCAGAGGCTCAGATGGAGCAGTGGACAGCACAATCAGGTGTGCATGGAGGATATAGCCGTCTATTGGAACATGCAGAGGACACTTGGCACCACAACAGAGGACAGAACTAACCAATCAACTACCCAGCCATATGTTGGCAGTGAAAAACTGGGCAAACTGAGACTCTAAGATGTACTATGTCAATCAGTGGATTCTGCAGTGACTTCATTGTGCTTGGAATGGTGAGATTGGCAGCAATTCAGAACTGTTGAACTATCAAAACCACTTGAGCAAGACCCTCGGAGCATGCCTCACATTAGAGACCTGGGATGGGTGGGAGGTTGGGTAGGACTCCTACCTTTATCTTCCCATTTACCACAGATACAGAAAAAGAAGAGAATGTGGAAATAATAGTCTTACCCACTTTCCTGTAGCCCTTGAACTTTTGTGCCCTAATTAACCATGTAAAGATTGTAAAAAAATAAAGGGGTTTGATTCAAAAAAAGAAAAAAAAAGTAAATGGCAGAGCTAGTATTCAAACCCAGTCTACCTGCTAAGTTCATGCTCCATATCAAAGCTGATGGTTCTTCAAAAAAACTATTTATTTTGGTGTTTTGATAAAGAAAACTGGGCCTGGCAAGATAGCCTAGTGGCTAAAGTCTTCTCCTTGAACACATTGGGATCCCATATGGGTGCCGGTTCTAATCCCTGTGGCCCTGCTTCCCATCCAGCTCCCTGCTTGTGGCCTGGGAAAGCAGTTTGGGATGGTCCAAGGCCTTGGGATCCTGCACCTGCATAGCAGATACAGAAGAGACTCCAGCCATTGCAGCTACTTGGAGAGTGAATCAACAGACGGAAGATCTTTCTCTTTGTGTCTCCTCTCTGTATATCTGACTTTGCAACACAAATAAATAAATCTTAGAAAAAAAAAACAACCAATATCAGAAAATACAAAAGACTTTAAATTAGAACCTCTGAAATTCAAGAGCCTTCATATTTTATTTATTTTTTTAGCTTGTTAAAACTTCATCATTAGCATCATATACTTTACTAAAAATTTAACAGGTTATTATGAAAAAAATATTTTTAGCTATCTATGCCATGTCTCAGTTGGCAGAAAAAAATGACTATTAAATATTACTTGCTATCTTCCCTTACTTTCAATAAAAATGGAGAGGAAGAGGTTGGAGAAGGTGCTCCCCCCCCCCGTACAAAAAGAGATGTCTTGGAACTTTCTTGGTACTATCTAAATACATTTCTTCAGATGAGAGTCGAAATGTCCAACTATCATTTGCAAGGAATTCTGTGCCAGACCCTGCATTTCCCAAACTGGCTTTCTCACCTCACCATATGAGATGAGGATGGCCGCGTATGCTGGAAGACAAGGATCCGTGGCTGAATCAGCCTAGCAAGTGGTGTCACAAACCCACAGCACCTAACAATGCAGTACAGGGTCCGAGAAGTCTTCAGGTACAGAAGCTTTCCAGACCCTGTTTAATCAGCTCCCAAACTTACATAGCCAATAAAAATAGCAGGGTTTTTTTTAGCCAATAAAATAATTGAAAAGAAGTTTCCTTCTAAGATGTTCCTTGGGCTAAAGCTGTAGAAATGGAAATTTGCACTTTTAAAGATTCTTACTTTTGGATTTTGTTAGCCTGAGCAGAATATCTGGGTTGCTGACTGCACTGTCTGGTTAATAACATTATCTGTGGTTGCTTTTCTAAAGCAAAAAGCCAAGATTTTTGGAATATCATAGAAAGTCCAGGTCCAAAAGGAAATCTTGGGCCCAGTGCGTGGTTCAATTGGCTAAACCGCCCTTGGTAAACGTAGTGATCCCATATTAGGTGCTGGTTCATGTCCCAGCGGCTTCAATTCCCATCCAGCTCCCTGCTTGTGGCCTGGGAAAGCAGTGGAGGACGGCCCAAAGCCTTGGAACACTGCACCCGTGTGGGAGACTTGGAAGAAGTTCCTGACTTTGGATTGGCTCAGCTCCAGCAGTTGCAGCTATATATGGAGTGAACCAGCAGATAGAAGATATTTCTCTCTCTCATTCTCTCTGTAAATCTGCCTTTACAGTAAAAAGAAAGGAATCTTTAAAAAAGAAGCATTGCGAGTGGGTACAGCAGCTCCTGCCTCTTGGGATGTCTGCATCGCGTATCTGACTGCCAGTTCAAGTTCTGGCTACTTTGCTTCCAATCCAAATCCCTGTGAATGTGCCTGGGAAACAGCAGATGGTGACTCAAGGAACTGAGTCCCTGCCACGCTCGCGGGAGACCTGGATGGAGCTCCTGGCTCTTGGCTTCCACCTGGCTCCAGTCTTGACTGCTGCAGTCATTTGGGTTTGTGAATGGTGGATGGGAAGATCTTTCTTTATCTCTCACTTTGTGTTTCACATAAATAAATAAACATTTTTTTTTAAAGTGTGTGAGAAGAGGATTACCTCAGACACACTTTTTGCTCTGGGAAAAACTATATGAATTGGGATTTTTTTAAAAAAAATTAGGGATCCAGCATGGTGCCTCAACTGACTAACCCTCCTGCTGTAAACACTGGGATCCTATATAGCTGTCAGTTGGTGTCCCGGCTGCTCCGTTCCCATCCAGCTCCTTGCTTATGGTCTGGGAAAGCAGTAGAGCATGGCCCCAAAGCCTTAGGACCCTACACCTGCATGGACACCTGGAAGAGGTTTCCAGCTTCTGGCTTTGGATTGGCTCAGCTCTGGCCATTGTAGTCAGTTGGACACAGCGGACAAAAGGTCTTTCTCTCTATCTCTTCTTTTCTCTGTAAATCTCTTTTTCCAATAAACGTACATATTTTTTTAAAAAAGGATTAGTCCTAATGAGCAACTGATGACCTAGTAAACCTTTCACACTGGTGAACTGACAAGTCTTTTTTTTTAAAAAAAAATATTATTCTTTATTGGAAGTAACATCTTTTACAGAGGGGAGACACAGAGAGACAGATCATCCACCCGCTGGTTCACTCCCCAAGTGGCACCAAGAGCTGAGCTAAGCCAATCTTAAGCCAGGAGCCAGGAGCTTCTTCTGGATTTTCTATATGGGCGCAGGATCCCAAGGCTTTGGGCTACCCTCTGCTGTTTTCCCAGGCCACAAGCAGGGAGCTGGATGGGAAGTGGAGCAGCCAGGACACGAACCAGAACCTATATGGGATCCCAGTGCATGTAAGGACTTTAGCCACTAGGTTACTGCGCCAAGGTCAAGCCTTTACAAGAAAGATACTGAGTCAAAAGAGTGTTCACCTCAGGAGTATACTATTCATTTTAGGTCCACCAAGCACAAAGGTTAGAGAAGACTGGTTTGTAGACTACGAAAACACACAAACCTGTCCTCCCTACGGAATTTTAATCTCACTGTTTCAGGATTCTCTGGAACATCATTTGACATCCTCAAGGAAATATCCATGAGCAACATCTGCAGACAATATCGGCTATGGAACCCGAAATGAACCATGATTCTGAAGCCAAAGCAGACACACACAGGCAGTTTTTGCCCTCCCAAGAACCTGGGTCAAAATCCCATCATCACTTGGTGCCCCACAGTAGAAGCGCCCTTCCCCAGCAGCATTTACATCCCGGCAAGCACCACTGCGTCAGACCTGTTGGGTCAGTGATGTGAGCAAACAGGCTGGAGATGGCAATGGACCCGGGGCAGCAGAAATCAGAGTGTTTCTACATGGTGCCCAAAGCCTCCTCCACCAGCTGCTTTCTTCAGACCATGTGACCTGGAAGTACAGACAGCCAACCTTTGCTTTGGGGCTCACCTCAAGGCAATCTGTAATTAAGTGCTTTAAAAATCAAACTGACTTTATGGAAAGAGCTCAGTCATTTGGACAGCCTTCAAAATGTGGGGGTGAAGGAGTGCAGACTACTCACCCAAGGAGACAACATTTCCGTAACTCTCCTGCATGACATCCCGGTAAAGGTCTCGCTGGGTAGAGTCCAGAGGTCTCCATTCCTCCCTGGTGAGGTACATGGCCATATCTTCAAATGTCACAGGTGCCTGAAATGACACAGTGCTTCCTCACTACTTGGCCTCGGGGAGTTGAGTGCCAGTCTTTCTTCTTGAAATCAGACATGGTTAGGAATGGTGTGGAGGCACAGGGCTATTAAGTCTGGTCTGTAGAGACCAGAAAAGAAAACAAGAGAGAAGAGAAAGAGTCAAGGGAGCAATGCCAACTGCTCGGGGCTTATGGACACTGCTGCCCCACTCGGTCAGCCGACCCTAGCACACTTTCCTGGAATCCATCTGGCACTTCCAGCTCTCCATACCTGTCCTTGCAACGCTCCCGGTCCCCTGGAATATTTTCTCAGAGCAGCAAAATGCTGCCGAATGGTCCCACTACAGGACCAATCCCCGCCCACCCCTCTGCTCCGTCCCACTCTGCCCCCAGATGTTCCAGAGAGAACTAATCACTCGCATATATGGGTTCCCCCATCACAGCACTTGGCTGCTTCGGCAAGCACACTTATCACCTTGTGTCACCGCTAGCCAGATGTGTCTTTCTTGTCCCTTCAGGCTGGGAGCAGGCACACAGAGGCGTCCTTTTAGTTTCCTGATAGCTAAAGGCACACAGCAAGCGTTCAGTGTATGTCTGCAGCTATACCGGCCTGGTTCTAAACCCATAGAGGCAGAATACCGGAACAAGTGAATTACCAAGCCCAGCATATCTCCCACATGAGGGGGCTTGCAGACCACCGAAACCACAGACGAGGTGTGTGGGCAGAGGCGAGGTGCAGAGAAGCCACCCCCGGCTTACCTGGGACCCAGCCATGAGCAGGGCAGCTGCCATCTCGGGCACCAGGGTTCGCCTCCTGTGAGAAAGCAGGACAGGCGGCTAGCAGACAGCACTGAAGGAGGCGAAAAGCAGGGCGTGAGGCACGGAGGAGAGGCCCTGCCCACTCCCCAGGGCTGGAGTTCTGGCCGCCAGGCGGGAGGGGAGGGCCCAGGAGGACCAGGGCGGGTCACTTTCCTCCCTGACCCCCCGAACGCCACACGCCCTCTGGGTCTCCGCCACCAGGGGGTGGAGGCAATGCCTAAGCCGACGGAGGACAGCCTCCCGCCAGGGTGCCTCGGGGGCCGGGGGTCAGCCCGCTGCTGTCTGTGGGAGGAGGCGCTCAGCCCAGCCCACAGAACGCCTCCGCTCTTCCATCTCCAGACCCGGTCCTTTCCGGCAGCTGCCTCAGCCCATCAGCTAGCGAGGCTTGCACATCACTGCCAATCCGATGCCGACCCGGAGGCCCGCCTTCCTCGGGGTGGCTGTGCCCCTCACCGCGCTTGCGCTCGTGCCGTGGCCTGCCGGGAGTTGGAGTTCCAACCCGGCGTACAAAAGCCAGTCAGAGGCCGGGCGGAGGAGGGAAAAGAACAAAAGGGTTCGGGGCGCGTCGTCCTGGCCCGAGCGCAGTGTATCTCCTTTTTCTCCTCTCAGAGCCCACAGTCCAGTTCCGACGGGGAAGCTGTCCTGCTTCTAACAGCCCGGGAGCCTCCCTTGAGGCTGAGTTTATCTGCGGCGTGGGGCGTCATTGAAGCAGGCTGGGTTGAGGTCCACTGGAGCCAAGCCTCAGGTGGCAGCCCAGGCCGGAGGCAAGCAGCAGCAGCCGCCCACTCCCCTGGGGGAGACTCGGGGGCCGCGCTGCAACTTTGGACCCCGCCCACGCACTACAGCTCCCGGCAGCGCCTGCGGCGTCGCGCCCGAGACCGCCGACTACAACTCCCAGGATGCCTTGCCTCGCCCCGCCCCGCCCCGCCCCACGGCGCGGTCTGCCACCGGGCCTTGCGGTGTCGCGGTTCTGCCGCTGTCCGCCTCGTAGGGGCGTCCGACTGCATCCTGAAGCGGATGACCATTGAGTCGAGCGTTGAGTTGCGCCTCTTTGCGGGGGGAACGAAACCCCGAAAGGGAGGGCGGGAATCATAAGCCGAGGAGGAGAGACTGGGAGACGGGGATGGAGCCAGGGCGGGGCGGGTGGTCCTTGTCATCCCTGAGGGCGGGTCTCCTGGAGGCCTCTCAGGGCCTGAGCCGAGCGGTGGCTTGGGATGTTAGCAGACCCTGTCCAGCTGAAGGTAGCAGGCGGAAAACCCGAGTTGAGGACAGGCAGACTTACCTCCGGGCCCGCCAGAGAGCCACTGCTGCCCGATCCAAGAGGTCGCCCACAGGTCCCGACGCCCAAGACCGAGTTCTTTCAGACCGCTTGTGTTGGGGGAAAAACTGGGAGAGGTGGAAAATCCTCCTTTTGCCACCCAAGGCCCGCGATCTTCCGAGTCTCGGGCGTGTCGTGCAGGAGCCCAGCCGGCTTCAGCGGGAGTCCCTGGGAAGGGAAGGGTTGGCAGGCTTGGCCTTCCCCAGCCCCGAGGAGGGAATGAGGCGATGGGAGTGGGGCGCTGGGGGACCGGGCATGCCGCACGGGGGGAAGAGCACGGAGCTCGCAGCCGCCTTGGAGAGGAAAGTGATGGAGAGAGACGAGAGCGGCTTCTGAGGGACTCCCACCCTCTTCCAGTTATAAATATCCTAGAGCTTGGCTCGGTGCCCGGAAGCCTGTTGTCTCTGTCCAGGAGACTTCTCTGCTGTGCCGGCGAAAGCAGCCTTAGTGGTGCTTGGTGCACACATCCACCCACTGAGAAACTTGACTTTTTTTTTCAGCCATGCTTTTGAGAGTGTCAGGTTCCCAGTGTCCCGTTATTTATGGTTACATCACTCAAATGTCCAACAGGAACTAGGAGACCCCTCTGCAGCCATGATGTAGAATCTTCCGTTTCAGAACTCAACCCTCAAAGCCCATCACAAAACACGTGTGGGTATTGCCAGCAGTGGAATCCCAGAGGGCTCCCAAGAAGCAGTGTCCCCAGTGGAAGGCTTCACGATCAGACACACCTGAGTTGAAATCCTGTCTGTGAATTCCTCCAGAGAGTCAAGTCTCCCCAAGCCCATCTCTTACACCGCGAGGCCTCTGCAGGGAGTGGGTACTCAAAGGACAGCAGAGGCCAGGGAGACCTCCAGGAAGAGGCACCGCAGAGCAGAGTGGCTGGCTCAGGAGCATGTTTTTGCCAGAAATTCAGAGCAGCCTGGGACTTGGGGGCCGCACCTGGTGTGTTCGGGTGAATGGTGTGTGGAGCCGAGCAGAGCAGGCTGCCGGAAAGCTCGGCAAAAATGAGGCCTGACCCTTGGGGAACTCTCCAGATGGATCAGGAACTAGGGAGGAGGGGCAAGGGATGAGAAATTGCAGGTTTCTAACTGGGCCTAAGGTGAGGTGCCCCAGCCCAGCGGGGCTGCTTTCTCATCCAGAGCCTGACAGATTGCTTTGTTGGTAAACTTCCCTAGGCCTTTTGCCCCCCTTGGCTCTGGGGCCTTAAGCCTTTCTTTGTTCTCTGGCAGTTGCTCCCCCTGGGCTGGCCTGAGGGCAGGATGGCTGCCTGGCTGCCTGCTGCCTTCAGTGACTGCCTTTTTTTTTTTTTTTTTTTTTTCCTTGTCCTGTCTACCTGGGGCCCTGCACAGCGTGGAGGTGAGAAGCTGAGAGTGGAGGGAGAGCTTGGCTGCACAGGGAGCCCCTGGGGGTTGGGGGGCGGGAAGAGGGACAGGAAGGACACTGGTGAGGGACTTCCTGTTGGAGTTTGAGAGTTGGGGTCCCTGGAGGCGGAGGTGGCTTCCTGTCCCATTGTCCCCGACCGGGGAGTTCCGCAGGATTCTTGGTATCTGTCGGTTTGCAGTAAGCACGTGGAAAGGCGAGCTCGTCCCCAGGATGCAGCCAGGAATGGGCACCCATCACGTGCAGAGTGAGCAGGCTGGTTCATCCTGATGCCAGGGACCAGGACAGCTTTCTGGACGGTGCCTCCAATTCAGGCTTCTTGTTACCTAGTTGAAGGTATGTGGGCTCCACCACTGGACTTGATTGAGGACACTTCTTTGGTATATTCTGCAGTTTGTGCCCTGTTACCAGGTCACTGTCCCTACGGAACCGTATCTATTTTTTTTTTAAAGATTTATTTATTTTTATTGGAAAGGCAAATTTACAGAGAGAAGGTGAGACACAGAGAAAGATCCTTCATTATTCATTCACTGCTCAAGTGCCCGCAGCCGCCAGAGCTGAGCCAATCCAAAGCCAGGAACTTCTTCCTCGGCTCCCACACAGGTGCATGGTTCCAAGGCTTTGGGCCATCCTTGACTGCTTTTTCCCAGGCCACTAGCAGGGTGCTGGATGAGAAGCGGCATGCTAGGGTTAAACAGTGCTCATATGGGGATCCAGTGCATGCAAGGCGAGTACCTTAGCCACTAGGCTACTGTACTGGGCCCCATCCTATCATCTTATGAGCTGCTCAAGTATGTTGTAGCTTACTATATCAGAAGTGTTCCTGGTCCCGGCACAGTGGCCTAAGAGCTAAAGTCCTCACCTTGAACGTGCCAGGATCCCATATGGGATTTATTTAAATCCGAAGTGTTCTGGGTGGGACTGGCATATCTTGTGATGCAAGCATTCCATATCAGAGCAAGGGTTCAAGGCATGGCTGTTCCACTTCTGATCCAGCACCCTACTTATATGTCACCTATTAGCCTTAACGCTGCTACCCATGTGGGAGACCAAGGTGGAGTTCCTGGCTCCTTGCTTCAATCTGCCTCAGGCCAGATTGGTTACAAGATTGGTTACCATGCCATTTAGAAACTGCATAAGCACATGGAAGATCTTTCTCTTTGTCTCTCTCTCTCTGCCACTGTGTCTTTTGAGTAAAGTTTAAAAAAATAAAAATGTCCTCATTACCTCATTACCCCTATGGGGAACAGTAACCAAGGTCCTCATTGCACTGGGAGTTGGGGGATGGGCCAGCCCACACTGACCAGCAGTTACTGCTGTCCAGGTGACCAGGTAGGGGGGAGTCAGCCCTTCGGAGGCAGGGAACTCCTGGGGAGTGGGGAAGGGAGGGGGCTCACCCAAGCAAGTCTAGGTCAATTGCAGACTGTGGGTATTCTGGAGATAGAGAAGATGGGAAGGAAAGCATCGCAGTCTTCATGAACAGTATGTGTGAAGGCACAGAGATGTAAAAGGACAGAGCATGTTCCAGAATGGCCAGGGTTGGTTATGGCCAGTGGAAAGAGTGGGAGTGGAGTGGCAGGGGGTAGATGCCGGGCAGGAATGTCGCTTGCATGCCCTTGCCTGCCTACCTCTGCAGAGCTGTCGAGGAGGCTGAGTCAGGGTGTCTGGGCACTGGCTCGGGTGAGAACAGGAGAACAGCACACTCTGCTGGGAGTGGATGTGAGGTCCCACTGGAGAGGTGGGGGAGGGGAGGCTCTTTACAAGCCCATTTCCACTGGTTCATTGTCTCCAAAGAGAATCGATCATCTTCGTGTAGACAAATTGCATTTAAAATCTACAACAGACTTAGTGCCATTTAACCTGCTGGGAGACATCAGGCAGCCATATTCACGGAGCCCTTTCCGTCCCTGACACAAGCTGGGAACAGAACAGCAGTGAGGACTAAATGTGGAGGAGGGCCTTGGCTCGCAGTGGCCAATGTCACTGCTGTGGAGGTCAAAAACATCACAGGTGCTCCCGTGAAGGGAAGCGTGCTTTCAAAGGGGCTCAGAGCATGCCCAGAGGTCTGGCTGCACATATGGGTCAAGAAGGAGAGGGAAATGAGGTGTTAACACTCAGAGGTGCAGCTTTGCAAGATAAAAGTTGTGAGGTGGTTGTTCAACAGTGGGAATGCACTTAACCCTACCTACCCTGCCACTTGCGAAGGCTAAGGGCCGACATCGGGCAGCCTGGGTCACCTGCATCCATGCTGAAGCCTGGCTCTGCTGCTCCGGATTCCACCTTCCTGGAAATGCAGATCTTGGGGAACAGTAGGTGGCAGCTCCAGTAACTGGGTTCCTGCATCCAGGTGGAATTCCCAGCTCCCAGGGTACACAGGGCTTTGGAAGTGAACCAACAGATGGGGGTCATTCAACCTCCCTGCCCCTCCCCATACACTTCTCTCCCTTTGCCTCTTTTTTTTTTTAAGATTTATTTTTATTATTTTTTTAATTGGAAAGGCGGATATACAGAGAGGAGAGACAGAGAGGAAGATCTTCCGTCCGATGATTCACTCCCCAAGTGAGCGCAACGGGCCGATACTATGCCAGTCCGAAGCCAGGAGCCTCTTCTGGGTCTCCCACGCGGGTGCAGGGTCCCAAAGCTTTGGGCTGTCCTCGACTGCCTTCCCCGGGCCACGGGCAGGGAGCTGGAAGGAAGCGGGGCTGCCGGGATTAGAACCGGCGCCCATATGGGATCCCGGGCGTGCAAGGCGAGGACCTTAACCACTTGCGCCACCACTCCGGGCCCTCCCTTTGCCTCTTAAATAAATAACACTTAAAAGACTATTCATTGGCTAAGATGGCTTATGCTATTCACCACAGTTTTTCCCCGAGAGTAGAAGAGCAGCAATAGCAATAGCAGTTCACACGATCAGAGATTTGGCAGGAAACTCTGCACATGCCCAGGAACAACAAGAGTTAACACTCTGTGGGGAGTTCCACCGGGCAAGAGTGAGGGGCACTTGTGAGCTGGGTGGGGTACATACAGGTGCAAAGGCAGGGGGCAGCTTGAGGTGGGAGACCAGCAGACAGTGTGAGCCCCAGTCCTGGCAGAAAGAAACACAGGCCGATTGTGTTGGTGGCGTTGGCAGTGGAGAGAAGGTAGGACCAGGGTGAGACTAGGGGACTGATAAAGAGATGGGGGCAGAGCAAATGGCCACACATGGCTCTAGGCAATGAACCAGTGGACGGACACAGAAGACAGTGAGGAGACTTAGGCAAGACAGGACATGAGCTCAACCTCAGATCACCTGCCTTCAGACCTGGGAGGAGATATTAATGGGCACGTGGGACATCAGCATGAGCTAGACCCATAAAGGCAGAAGTCACAGCTTCTTGATTGGATGGGACTCTATCACCACGGTGTTTTTGGTTCTTGCCACCTTTGGAAAACATCTCTTAAAATGGTCACAGGACCTTGAATGGACTTTGGTTTTTAGGGTTTTCTGGCCACAGTATTCCTGAGACACCCTCTCTCCTCCATGCACGCTTCTCTGATTCACCTCGTCGACCTCCTTGTGCAACCATCTCCTTTCCTCGCGGAAGCCCTCCTGGCTGGCAGAAGTTAACGTTCAGGCACTTGTGGCTCATGCTTTGTTCATCTTGGACGTGAAGGAGGGGAAGGAATGAAAGCCTGTGTTCCAGCCAACAGTGTACGGGAAAGCACAGAGCTGGCTGGGCAGAGCTGTGAAAAGCAGATGCCTGCGGAGCCAACAGCATGGCCAACGCAGAAGCCAGCTCTGCCAAGGCAAGAGCATCAGGAAGAAAAAACATGCTACATGGGGATGGCAGAGTGGGGACTCCAACAGGAGCACATGTTGTGATGCAAATGTGTGTGTGTGTTTTAATTAAAGTGACAGAGTATGCACTCATGTCTGCCAGTTTACTTCCCAGCTGGTTTACTAACACCCAGGACTGGGCCTCAGTCCAGCTCTCCCCCTTGGGTGGCATATCCATATGCCATCACCTGCTGCCTCCCAGGGTCTACACTTTCAGAAAGCAGGAGCTGGGAGCCAGAGCTGGGAATCAAACCCAGGCATTCCAGTGCAGGACACAGGCATCTCAAGTGACCTCTTGGCTTCCAGGCCATGAGCCAGATTTGTGGTTTTGCCAGGCTGACCCCGGCCACTTGCAGTGACTATAGTGTGGGAGGGTGTCGGCATCATTGAGGAACATAGGCTGTGGCCCACTGCTACTTTTCCTCTCGTGGATGGTGATGCACAGTGTATGGAGGTGCAGACTTGAGAAGACTTGTTCTCTGGCTGATCAGCCTGACTCACCTACCGCCTTTGTGAACAATGAGGTTAATGAGGGTGGAGACTGCGTCTGGCTTTGTTTCCTGCGCTCTAAATCCCTACCCGGCTGGGAGGACATGGGGTATTTAGACCTCGCCTCTTGGAAGTGGCCTCAGGGTGACACCTGTAAAAAGCTCACCCCTAAGTCACCTATTAAGGCACCATTAGGTTGGCAGTAGTTGCTATTTTGTTTTTTTTTTTTTTAAAGATTTATTTTTATTATTTTTTCATTGGAAAGGCAGATATACAGAGAGGAGAGACAGAGAGGAAGGTCTTCTTTCCGATGATTCACTCCCCAAGTGAGCGCAACGGGCCGATACTATGCCAGTCCGAAGCCAGGAGCCTCTTCTGGGTCTCCCACGCGGGTGCAGGTTCCCAAAGCTTTGGGCTGTCCTCGACTGCTTTCCCAGGCCACAGGCAGGGAGCTGGAAGGGAAGCGGGGCTGCCGGGATTAGAACCGGCGCCCATATGGGATCGCGGGCGTGCAAGGCGAGGACCTTTAACCACTTGCGCCACCGCGCCGGGCCCGCTATTTTGTTTTGCATTGGAATTCTAGACTTTTGCATGGAGGAAAAGCAGAGACCACAAGGATAGAAACTGTTAGTGCCCCCTGTCTGGCCTGGGGGACCCCTGCAGCATGGGCATCCCCTGTGAGAAGCTCAAAGCCTGCCTGTGACTCAGGATCTGCCTTCAGGCCACTTCCCACCCACCTGAACCTGGAAGTGCCCAGGTTTCTAAGCAACCACTGGGCACTTCCAGGTCTCTTCAAGCACAATGACAGGGAGCAGCAGACTTAGGTTTCGGTTCGCAGGCTGTACTGATGATCTGAGGTTGTTGTGTCTTTTGGGAAGAAATGCCAGTCTTTTCATAGGACCCATGCCACCTGTCTAAACCCTGAAGCAGACAGATCTCTGCACACAGGGTATGCACAGGTCCCGTTGGCAGATGAAGGCACTTGGGAAAGGCAGATGAGCACCATCCCAGCACAGATGACACCTTGCCAGTGTATCCGGTACTTGTTGCTGTCCCAGCAGATCATCTATGGGTGAATGCCAGCAGCAGGGAGCCCAGCAGCCTCTGCATTGTTACCCAAAGAAGAAGCAATAGGGCCCCTCACTGCTTAAGGCTAAGGACATGGCTCCCAGGAGTCCACAGGCTCTTGTACTTCCACTGATTTAGAAAACAGGAAGTCTAGAAGGTTCAGTCTGGGACCACCAAAAGGCCAGGAGCAAGCTGAGATGAAGACCCACCAGCAAGTCTTTTCCCAGAAATGTCCAGCTTTACCTCAAGTCCTTATCAGCATTCTCCACAGGCTGTGATGATCAAGGGCTATTGAGTTCTGCAGACTTCCTCTGGAGCTGGGGCCACCAACAGAGCTGTGGGGAGACACTGCAGGGCCTGGGCAGGTTGGCAGACTTGGGGCCTCTACCAGAGGCCATGCATGTCAGGGCCTTCCGGGAGCTTTCACGCAAAGCCTGAGGTCAAGGGCACTAATGCTTGCCTCGAGGGAAATTGTCTGGCAGCCCCTCCAATGGCCACAGCTATGCACACAGAATGGCAGGGTGTGGGAGGAGGTTTGGCATAGGGGACAAAGATTTCTATGTAGTATGGAAGTCCTGTGAGGGTACTTCTGAAAATTCATGGAAGAGGAATTAAAAGAAGTTTATTATTATTATTTTCATTTGAATGGCAGAAGGACAGAGAGTGAGCAAGACAGAAAAAAGATCTTCCATCCACTGATTCACTCCTCAGATGCCTGCAACAGCTTGAGGCTAGGTCACAGCCAAAGCCAGGAACCCCAAACTTCAACTGGATCTCCCAAACGGGAGACAAGAACCCAAGCACTTGAGCCATCACCTGCTGCCTCCTGGGGTGTGCGTGAAGCAGGAACCTGGATGGGAGGCAGAACAGCCAAGGTGTAAGCCAGACACCCCAACTGCTGAGCCCCAAAAGAGAAGTTTATTTGGTACAAAATGTTTTGAAATCCATGCATGGGTTTTTCATAACTCACTTCCATGAACTTCCTGCAGGACTGCCCATCACCCACCTGCCCACCATTTCCAAGTGCAGTTATGTCAGTCTGGTGTCTCTCATTTCAGAAAAGGCTGGGAGATATCAGAGGCCCCGTAAGCAGAGGTTGTTGAGCCCATTGTCAAAGATGAGACACTTGATCTCTGAGGCTCTGGAGGTTGAGCTACACAGACGCTTGGCATCTCCCCATCAGCCACACGTAGCTGATAGCTGACCACTGACGAAAAGCCTTGGCCTTTCTCTTCTGAGTTGGCATCTTGTCTTCCAATCTGACAGCAGGGACTGCTTCTCTCTTCTCTCCCTCCTTCTGCTTGCGGCGGGTGGTCCTGATGGTGGTGGTCCCATCAGCAAAACTACAACAACAAAAAGGCCACTGAATGTTGAGGGATTTTCTAGTGTGAGAGGAGTTAGACTGGGTAGTAGACAGGGTATTCTGGGTCCCGAAGTCATTTTTTTCTCAAATATAAAAGGGAATTTCCCTACCATGTCTTGGATTCACCAAAGCACTGGGAGTGGAGTTCCTTGGGGTAAAAAGTATGCTAATGAGGCTTTAGTTTTATAGGAAAGCCTATAATGACTCCCAAGACAAGTGCCATATCTTAACTTATCAGGAACATACTTCCCCAAGAGAGGGCGACATTAACATGTCAACTCCCCACCTGAAGCCTCAGCCCCATTCTGTCTTCCTGCCATTGCCAAGGGGAGGGCTTCAGACTGGCCTCTGTCATTAGAAAGGGACCAAGGAATGTGGCCAGTGACACCTTTCTGGCCTTTTGTCCCAAGGCCAGGTACCATGGAAACCAGGAATTTTCTTTGTTTATGGAGAAACATCTTTGAGCTAAACCTTTAAAAGATGCATTCCCCACCATTTTTCTTCCTTTGCCTCCTGCCACTATGGCAGAGGACTAGGGTCTCTTTTTTCCACTTCTCCTCCTGCCACTATGGCAGGGGGTAAGGGTCCTTCCTATCTCAGAGCCCCCTCCCATCACTAGGACAGGAGTCTCCTTTCTCAACTTTTCTAATAAATCTTGCTTTAAAACCAAACTGTCCGCACGAAAATTCTTTCCTGCGAGACAAAAATTGAGGTTGCTGCTGTATTCGGGATCAAAAACCCTACAACACGTTTTGGTGCCGTGTGACTCGGATTCTACCAGCGAAATTTGAGTTCATCCCCAGCCAGCCTCCAGACATCCATCTAGTTGGATGGTGAGCAAAGTGGACTGTATCCTGTCTTTCAGAGACACTAGCTCTCCACAATTAGTAACTCTCGGAAAAGAAACACCGGGTCCCTGTCAGCTAGTTAAATGCATCTAGCGTGGCTGCCAGTCTCAAGACTCAGGGGCGAGGCTTGCTGAGTTTGGCCTAATTGATCCCCTGGAGCTGGGGTCCTTGGCTCCAGGAATGTTGGTTTTGCCCAAACTCAGTTTCCTTTCGCGGACTAAGCCCGTCACGTGAGACTGGGAGAAGTCTTAGGGCGCCTCAGAAATTCTTGTCAGGGCCACTCCCTGATGCTTTTCGAAAGGCCTCTGGACTGTACCCCGGACTCCGACAGCCCGTCAGGGTGTCGGGCTCAAATCTGCATTCTTTCCTTCCTTCCGCAGGGATTCAGTTGTCAGTAAGAATGGGCGCAACCCATGGCGAGGCCACGAGCCCTGTGCTTCGTGCCTCAATTCCCAAACTGCCCCAGACACTAACAAGTTCTCCGCTACTTTTTCTGTTAGGATTGTCTCAAAGACTCTTTCTCACTAAGTCTCCTCGTTCTCTATGGATTCAGGTTTTGGGTTTTCTTTTACTGGTCAGTATGTGCTGAACATCAATTGGTCTGTGATGGGAAAAGGGAAAGGCAGGCAGGGTTTCTCTAGACCCCCCTCTATAGATAAGATCTAAGATAAACTTAATGAGGAAAGTGCTTTAATTCCTTCACAAGGCAGGCAGCAGAGACAGTTCCTCCTGGATAGCGGGATAGCTCTTAACTAATGTAGTTGCTAATGTGAGCACAAAACCAGAGTCAACACATGTACTCCTCCAGCTCCAGTTAAGGACATTGTTATACAGGCTTATAGAATCAGGCTGAAGTTTGAGGTCAGGCTTGTCAACTCGAGGTTAGGACAAATTTCAAAGGGAGAGCATATTTTGTCCGGCAGAAGTCCCAGATGCAGCATGGTGCAGGGGATATTTTTGGCACATGCTGTTTCTGACTTGTATGTTCTCCAGGGCACCAGAATATATTGCACTAGGCAGAGACCTAGGTCTAGCATGGCACAGGAAACAGGAGTAGATTGTTCACTCCTGGCATATGCTGTTCTAACTGAGACATCCCACAAGGCGTGGAAGGTCGAGCGACATGAGTCAAGTGTGCTGACTTCACTCCCACCTTCCCCCTACTTCTGTGGTCTTCAGCAGCACACACCTGGACACCACAGGCTAGCAATAGGAGTCTTAAGAGACGTCTTAGACTCAAGAGAGATAGAAACTGAGGGACACTTCTGTTTTCTTATCCTCTCTTTTCAGATGGGAAACAAGCCATCCACCATAACCCCCCTTGGGGTTTATCCTCAGACTTTGGAATTCCTTTGACACCCAGAATTTAAGGAGAAAGGGCCTGATCTTTTTCTGCACCCCAGCCTTAGCTGCCAGTTTTGAGCTTTAGAATGGGGAGAGTTAGCCTAGTTTTGCCCTCTTTGCATAACTAGGCTGCTGTGCTGTGCTGGCTCCACCGCCAATGGAGCACACAACTGGCTTTTACCTTGGCTCCTCCCAGTTCTGTCTTTTAGTCAGGTCTCCTGACTGCACCCTTAATTGTAAGATATCTAACAGGAGGTAGAAGTTCATTTTGGCTCTCCTTGGTCACTGATCTCAGAAACAAAGGGGAATATTGCTAGTTAACAATGGGCCAGACCCCAGACTCCTGTACCCCCGGGGAAAACTTAAAATTCATTAACTCTTTCTAGCCTGAAGATTCTTTCCCTTTGCAGTTCCCTCTGCCACGACTAGTATTTCATTCTATGACCTGGGAACATTGTTGGGAGACAAGACAGGGGACAGGGAGGTCCACTTCCCTCCACCAGGAGCCTTCCTGCCTTGCAGTCTGGCTGTGATCAGGCTCAAAGGAAACCCCATCTGGGGAAGCACTTTGCAAAGAGGTGGGGCTCAAAGGCACTGCGATTCTATTGTTTTTTTTTTTTTTTTAAATTCTCTCCTCTGAGTTTCAGGAAGTTAATTCCATCTAGGCTCCACCGCCAGACTTGGCTCACCGTGTGATAAAATGTAGTCTGCTGCCGTCCCTGCCCAGCAAGGCGTCCTTCTGAAACTACAACCCGCACAGTCTCCCGCACGTCCCCAGCAGCAAGCCACGTAGTCTCTGGCTCCGCAGACTCACTCCTTGCAGACTGGCAGCACCCCCCTCCTCACCGGCCCATGCACAAGGCTCCTTCTGGGCTGAGGGTATAATACTAGGGCAGAGTTTTTAGGTGACAGAGGAGGGAGAGAGACCCATACATACAGACCTTCCAGCGATAGCCACACTCATTGCACAGGACAAAGGTTGTCATGGGCTCATCAGCGCTTCGGGTCTGCACCTGAGGGAAAAAATCCACTGATGAGGTCGCTCCCCTGCCCCAGGACATGCCATGGCTCCCACTGGCCTTAAAGTAGATCCAAACCACAGTGGCTGGCACTGAAATTCCCACCCCTCACCATTAGGAACCCCACAATGCAAGCCTCACTCTTCTAGGGGACTTTCCAATAACACCCTAGCTTAGCCTGGCCTTCGACTATCCCTGCGTGGCTGATCCTTTGGGATGGATCTCCTTGCCCAAGACTCATCTCCTACAAGAAGTTCTCCCGTCACCCATGAACTCTGCCTCACTGTCCAGAACTGGAGGGAGCTGGCAGCATCCTTACTGCTTGCTCATCTCCTTCATCTTCCCTGTTTTATATGTGCGCCACCTGAGGGAGGCAAGGAACTTGGAGCTCACTGGCACCATTTAAGGATGTCCACTTTATCATCCTTTAAAAACATTTTTTTAAAAGATTGATTTATTTGAAAGAATGACAGATGGCTATAATCGCCAGCAGTGAGCCAGGCTGAAGCCAAGAGATTTATCTGGGTCACCCACATGGGTGTAGGGACCCAAACACTTGGGTTATCTGCTGCTGCTTTTCCCAGGCCTTTAGCAGGGAGCTGGATTGGAAGTGGAGCAGCTAGGCCATGATCTGGTGCTGATGTGGGATGCTGGCAGCACAGGCAGTATGCTATGTCACAAGGCTGGTACCTGGCTTCTCACCCTCTTAACCTTTTCAGGTGTAGGAAACTGCTTCCCACAGCACCGCCTAGAGATTTATATTTCACAGTCGTTATTCTGGTTTTCTAAATCTATTCTGGTTTTCCAAATATCTAAAACAGACAAGCTGGGCCAGGCTAAAGCCACAAAGCCAGAAGCCTTGAACTCTAACCAGGTGACCCATATGGGCAGCAGGGACCCAAGTGTGTGAGATGTCATCTGCTGCTTCCCAGAGTGCATATTAACAGGAAGCTGGACAGGAAGGCAGGTGGAGACCTGGACCCAGCCATGCAGTCAGATGCAAGTATCCCAGGCAACATCTTAACCTGCTAGGGCACAGAGGCCCGTCCTCATTTTTTTTTTATATAGATCTATTTATTTTTATTGGAAAGTTAGATTTACAGAGAGAAGGAGAGATGAGAGGAAGATCCTCCATCTGCTGGTCCACTCCCCAAGTGGCCACAACGGCTGGAGCTGTGCTGATCTGAAGCCAGGAGCCAGGAGTCTACCCTGGGTCTCCCATACAGACGCAGGGTCCCAAGGCCCTGAGCTATCCTGCTGCTTTCCCAGGCTGCAAACAGGGAGCTAAAAGGGAAGTGGAGTACCTGGGACACAAACCAGCATCCATATGGGATCCCAGCACATGCAAGGCAAGGACCCCAGTCACCAGGAGGCCTCTCCCAGGGCTAGCATTAGGCGGAAGACACAGACCAGCCCAGCCCTGCCACTGGGAAGGAGTGACACCTGGGAAAGGACAGCAGGTGGGCATCCTAAGAGGAGAGAAAATGCGGCCACAGGGCAGCTGACTCCTGCAGAAAGTGCAGTGCCCCTTGTGGAAACGTGCTCAGGAGGGAGCAGGCATGGGGACAACTGTGTCCCACGTCCCAGCCCATAGTCCTCCCAGGCTCCTCCAGATGGCTGACAAGGCTGGCTGTGTCACTCTCCACATGCCCTCAATAACCAGGGCTGGACCAGGCTGAAACCATGAGCCAGGAACTCCATCTAAGTCTCCTATGTGGATAACAAAGACCCAAGTAGTAGGGTCATCTCCCACTGCCTTCTCAGGCACATTAGCAGGAAACTGGATGAGAAACAAAGCACCAGGACTTGAACAGCCGCTCCCATGGTGGGATGAGGGTGCCCCAAGCAGCGGCTGATGCCCTTGTGCCCCAACAACCATCCCCAGGTCTCTGCACACAGAGGGAGCTTCCCACTACAGGGCAGGCCAAGACACACAGGCCCAGCCTCTCAGACACCAGCTGGGTTACTTGATGCACACAACATTTTCTAGAAGGCACACAGGTGTACTGTGGCCCTTGCCTGTTGCTGATACCTGGTTATAGGTACAGTTCTTCTTCTTGCATTTGCTGCACTGGAAGAGGTCGGTAGTGGTGCCGCCCGTCTTGGCCATCTGGTGCTCACGGATCGCCTCCTGGGTCATGGCATTCCTCAATTCCCTCAGCTCGTCACTGGCCATTTCCTGGAGAGAGAGGAGTTTGTCTTTGAGCCCGGAGCACTGCAGCAGCTGGCCTCACCCTGGTTTCCAGACAGCGGCATGGAATAAGTGCTGCTTGCGCAGCAAGTGAGTAATTGGCACCAAGGGCAAAGAGCTGGAGGACAGCCTGGACTCCTGGGCCTGTCTTAAGCAAGAAAAGCCTGCACCTGATGAGTCCTCAGCCTGTCCCTGGCTAGAAGGTCAAATCTGGAGGCTCAGGCTGGAACAAGATCAGTGGCTAGGGGCCATGCAGGAAACCAGGAATCAGCCTGTTGTGTACATTCCTTTAAGTCTGGTGCTCACCCTGCTTGCCAGGAGCTTGACCTACACATGAGCTTCCCACATTACTGCCCAACTGAGTTGTGATGGCCTCCTCGTCCTCCCAGTCTGAGCTTGGTTCAGGACTTATCTGAACTGTGATCATGGCCCAGCCAGTTCTGCCTGGTAGGAACCGTGCTCTCACAATGGCCACCAGACCCTAGAAGGATCCAGATTCTCCCAGGCAACCAGCTGTTCCCCTGGGAACATGCATCACAGGACATCATCTCCCCAAACCCCCCAAAAAGAACATCATTCCCTCCCTTTTCTCTTTTTGAGAGGCAAACACACTCCACATGCAACACACACACAAACCCACACATGTATGTGCACACACAGACAACTCTGTCCATTGATCTGCCCCCCACATGCCTGAAACAACAAGCAGCGTCCAGTTCAATCCAGGTCTCCCATTTGGATGGCAGACACCAAACTACTTAAGCCATCACCTGTTGCTACTGGGGTCTGCAGTGGAGGGAGGCCGGAAGTAGGAGTTGGAGCCAGCATTCCCACTTGGGACTTGGGCAGCTCTACCAGCAGCCTGACTCCTAGCTCAAGGCCTGATTCCAGGACATCCTTTAGTAGGAGTTCCTGTCTCCTATCAGCTCCCTGTGGACACACAGCACCTGCATCATGGGCCTCTCTTCTCTATCAATCTCCCAGGCCATCTGACTTTTTTTTTTAAAGATTTATTTATTTTTATTATAAAGTCAGATATATGGAGAGGAGCAGAGATAAAGAGCAAGACTTTCCATCAGATGATTCACTCCCCAAATGACCACAACAGCCAGTGCTGTGCCAATCCAGAGCCAGGGCCCAGGAACTTCCTCCAGGTCTCCCACATGGGTGCAGGATCCCAAAGCATTGGGCCGTCCTCGACTGCTTTTCCAGGCCACAAGCAGGGAGCTGGAAGGGAAGCGGGGCCGCCAGGATTAGAACCGGCGCCCATATGGGATCCTGGCGCGTGCCAGGCAAGGACTTTTTAGCCGCTAGGCCACGCTGCCGGGCCTCATCTGACTCCTCTTGTGGGGAAGGAGAACTGCTGATCTCGTACAGGCTAAACATTTCCTTGGATGCCGCCTATCCAATGCAAAAGGTGCAATGACAGAAGGCAGACTAGAAATCAAAATAAATGACGAAAAACAGAAAGAGGAAGAGTGATGCAGAGGGAAAGAACTCTTCCATCCACTGGTTCACCCCTCAAATACCTGCAACAGGTGGGACTGGACAAGCCAGGATCCAGGAACTCCCCCCTGGTCTCCCACCTGGATGGTGGAGACCCTAAATACTAAGGCATCTTCTGCTGCCTCCCCAGGCATGTTAACTGGCTGTTGCATTAGAAGTGAAGCAGCCAGGACTCACATCTGTGACTCAATATGAAATGCAAGCAGCGGCTTATCTGGCTATACCACAATATCCATTTTTCAGATTATTCTTCTGCACACTAAGGTTTAAGTCCTAGTGAGTTAAATTCAAGAGCTCGATTCCACCTAATGACAAGGATATACACAAACACAAGTCAATCAGGTTCCAGAATGTAATGCATTGCTTCACTCCAAATGCATTAGATGTTGATTAGATGTCTCCAACTAGATCATTCTGTTGATAAACTGACTTCGGCTGTGGGAGTGCCCGATTCACAGCATCCGTCAACTTCCTTGGAACAACTCTCCTACTGTGGCCAATTTCAAACTACTAATGGAAGATGACTGCAGTGCCAGAATTGCTACAGGCCATCTGCTCTGGCAAGGCAGGAGAGCTGGCTGTGGCTGGTCACTGCCCCCAGGGACTCACACTTGGGGTCTGGCTCCTGCCCCAGGCAGCGCCCAGTGTAGCCAGGCACTTGCACGATGCTCCAAGCAAGGGAAAGAAGGACTAAAGCAAAGAATTGGTGCAGGGCAAAGAACAGACCATGGGGGCTCTTTGACGTGAAGCTGTGCCTTAATCAGCCTTCTCCAAAAGGCAGAAGGCAGACACAGAGGTCAAGAAGGATTCAAGTTGGCATGTAGGAGACATGGCAGAAAGCCAGACTGTAAGAGGAGGGTCTTGTGGGCCAGCTAAGAAGAGAGAACAGAAAAATCCACCAACCCAACGACCCCTCCTTGCCCAGCTTATTTAGCACAAAGCAGCATGGGAGATGCCCAAAGTGCAACAATACCAAAAATCAGGGCAACGGGAGCCCAGAGAACCATGTCGGACACTTTGCTATGGTGGGTCCCTGAGCTTTGCAAAATTCCAGTCATCATTGTCTTGGCTTGATCATGTCTTTGGGGGATTGGGAAAGGTTCTAGAAAATGGGCTCATTGTAATCATATTTGATCATGGACATTCTGATTCCGTGGAGGGAGATTATGGGCCCCTGGGAAGCTCTGCCTGTGGGACCTGCGGTGTGTTTCAATATTTAAAGGTTTGTTTATTTTTACTTGAAAGGGTGATTTACAAAGAAAAGGAGAGACAGAGAAGTTCTTCCATCTGGTGGTTTACTCCCCAAATGGCCACAAAGGCCAGAATTGAGCTTATCTGAAATTGGGATCCAAGAGCTTCCTCTGAGTCTCCCATGTGGATACAGGGATCTCCAAGGACTGGGGGTCATCCTCAGCTGCTTTTGCAGGCCATCAGCAGGGAGCTGAATTAGAAGTGCAGCATCTGAGACACGGACTGTTACCCATATGGGATTCCAGCACTTGCAGGTGGCGGATTAGCCTGTGGAGCCACTGCTCTGGCCCCTAGTATTTGCTTTAAAACAAGGATCATGCAGGGCCCTTAGGGTGGGATTAGTGCCCTTACAGAAGGGCTTAAGGGGCTGGCATTTGGCACAGTGATCAAGATGCCTCCTGGGATGCCTCACAGCCCTTTTCAGAGTACCTGGTTCCAGGCAAGGTTCCCCTGAACCCCAGTCAATTGATGGCTCCAAGTATCAGGGTCCCTACTGCCCTCATGGAGTCCCCAAGTCCTGACTCTGGCCTGCCCCAGTCCCACCGGTTGCAGGCATTTGGGCAGTGAGCCAGCAGACAGCAGATCCCTGTCTGCCTTTCAAATAAATATGATAAGCAAGTAAGTAAATAAAGGCCTGAGAGAGACACCTGTTCTTTCCACCAGAGGTATTTCACTGAGAAGGCACCATCTCAGGGGAAGGTCCCCTCATCACACGCTGAGTTGGGCGGTGCCTTGACGTTGGCCTTCTGGACCCCAGCACTGGCAGGCATGAACATGTGCTGTCGGCAAGCCGTGCGCTCTGGCACCTTGCTAGAGCAGTCTGAACAAAGTCATGGCTACGGACCAAGTGCAGGTGTCATTTGGGGCAGATGCTGCCACCTGCCTAAGCAGTTCAGATGCAGGAAACACTGGGCGACCTGAGCCAAGTCCCTCATTTTATCCTGGAGCAGGGACCGCCACTGCTTTGGGTAGCTGGGACACAGTGAATGCACATTCATACCCCACACGATGCCCGCACACCACACATACCCCAACACACATCACGCCCGCACACAAGGGCACTTCCAAAGTTCTTGCTGGACTCTATTTCCCAGGGACTTCCTGACGTCCCCTCCCTTCTTAGTCCACTCCCTTTCTAGTGAGATGTGAGATGGTTACACTAGCATCTTCAAAGGGAGGAAAACCAAGGAGGTCCCGGCCCAGCTCCAAGCTTTCCACCCAGCACCTGAGCTGCCTGCCTAGGCCTATTCCCATCCTTTCCCTTCCCTTCCAACCCTTTTGAACAGAGTCCATTCTTTCTTTCCATAGCACACCTGGCAGGCTCCATCATAGCCTGACCACTCTGTGTGAGTGGCACCCATAGTAGGGGGTGTCTCTGTCTCCACAGTTGGGACTGGTACCAGCCTGGACAAGAGGGAGGCTGACAACAAAGCAGTGTAGAGCCAGATGGTCTGCTTCTGGCTCATTTGCCAAGGCATATCGGGTGTCTCCTTAGAGCCTCAGTCTCCCTGTCTGCAAAATGGGCATGGCGAACATTTCTGTCATCTCAGGGAGTGTACACACAGCCCTCAGCATAGCACTGGAGGTATCTGAGCTGTGTCTGGGAACCCCGTGGGCAGGCAGGAAAAAGCCCTGGGCTCGCCTCTGCTGGGCCTCAAGCCATCACCTCTTAGACAAAGCTGCCAACACTGGTGGGGCCTTGCCTCTGGCCCTCTGCGCTGAGCCCTCACCTCTGCCGTCATTTTGGCAATGAGCGCAGCAGAGATGGCCCCACTGAGCACGTTCCGCCTCAGGCTGGGGTTCCTGGGGTCCTTGAGGTTGCTGATCCGGCTGCGTACGCGGTTCCGGTACTTCATGTCTGTGCCCTTAAGCTCCTGGTAGATATGTGATAGGGTCAAGGGTCAACAAGCCAGTGGAAGGACATGGAGGCACCTTGTCTTGGAATCCCTGGGCCAGTTCTGGGAAGTCTCAGGCTTCCTAAAGGAATCCAAGGCTCAACAGCTGGGAGCTGCCAACATCATGACAATGGTGAAGATACCTCCAGGCAGGGAGGGCCCTGGAGACCCAGGGTCCACGTGTCAGCTCTTGGCAGGGTTGCCATGAAGCCGTTGCTGCCTTTGGCCTAGCCGAGTTCTCCCAGAGCACCATCTCCCCCACTTCTCTGCCTTGCAATGACATCCAGGACTACCCTAGGGGACCCACCTTGGGAATTACCAGCCAGTTACTCAACAGATGACAAAGCTGAGGTTTAGAAACAATGCCTGCCCTGGCTCAAGGTCATGGCAAGTTCCAGGCAGAGACAGGGCTGGAAGCCAAACTCCTTCAAGCGGTCATTCCCTGGCCACCAACCGCTGTCGTAAATGCAGCCTCCTGGACAGGCCTTTCCCGATCCCTCAGCCTCCTGGAGGAGTTCAGGGAACATTGCCTCATGTTCTGATTGGAGCCAAGCCCCACCAGGAAGACAGAGCTGCGTTTGGGAGAATTGTGCCCAAGAAAGAGGTTGATGGGGACGTGGGAAGATGGGAAGAAAGCAGGTGGTGTCGTGGCCTGTTTCTGTGTCAGTGCTGTTAGAAGCTGCAGCATGAAAGGAGAAGATACCACAATGCACCGGGAGCTTCCAGGTCAGCCTCTGGGACTTCCGGCAGTGTCTGCTGGCAAGTGGGGACATCAACTTTTCCTGACTCCCCTGCTTCCCAGGACCATGAGGGAGGAGCACAGTCTCGGGTGGCACCATGCATGCCAAATGAGGGCACTGCAAAAAGTCTGGGAAAAATGGAATTAACAGATATTCATTTTTGGTGCCAAAATGTTTGAAATCTTCCTTTCCGGGTTCTTCATAAAGACCCTAGATAATGAGAATCATAAGAACTTGTGGATAAATTTCAAAATCTTATATCAAAATAAACAAAGAAGTTATTTTTATTTGACAGGCAGAGTGACAGGGAAGATAGCAAGATAGAATCCATTCATTTGCTGCTTTATTCCCCAAATGTTTGGTTGTAATGGCTGAGGCTGGGCCAGCTTGAAGCCAGGATCCTGGAACTCCAGCTCCCACGTAGGTGCAGGGGCCAACTACCTCCCAGGCACATTAGTAAGGAGCTACATAGGAGGAGAGCAGCCTGGACAGGAACCCTTTCTCTGATATGGGACACCACTGACCCATGACATTAGCCCCAAGTTTATTTTTTAAAGGTATATATTTTTAATTTAATTGAGAGGCAGAGAAACAGAAAGAGGGAGATGGAGGGTCATACAGAGAAAGCTCTCGCCTGTCAGTGCACTCGCTGCTTGCGATAGCTGGGGCTGGGCTGGGGCCGAAGCCAGGAGCTAGATACATAATCCAGGTTCCCATGTGGGGATCAGGGGCAGAGGCTCCTACCTGGGACGCAGGCATCTTAGTCAAAGCTCATCACCTGCTAAAAATCTGCCTTTTGATTCTGTTCTCAGAATTTAATTCTGTTTTCAAGAACCCTTGTATCAGTCCAGGATTGCTCCAAACAGGACAAGTTTTTAATGGGACACAAAGCATTCATGGTGCTAAATGTCTGCTCTCCACCCCCTGCCCGGTGGCCCCCCTCATTCTCCAGGTGGGCCACCGGGCAGGAGAGACTGCTGAGGAGGAAATGGAGAGGAAAACCGGGCTGGTCTTGATCCCTCACACTCTTCTTTCCTGGACTGACAGGAAGTTAGGAATCTGTTGAGGCGAGGGTGAGTCAAGACTCCAAGCATGGCTGACTAATCGTTAAATGATGCTAGGGGAAAGGGTTTGGCCATGTGGCTAAGATGCTGAACTTCTGCTCTGGAGTTCCAACTCCTGACTCCAGCTTCCTGCTGAATGCAGGAAGTCCAAGTACTTGAATCCTGGACACCTGTGTGAGACCTGGATGGAATTCCAGGCTTCCAGCTTTGGCCTGGCCCTGGTGGCTAGGAGTGGGCCTTGGTCAAGAGAGGAGGAGGAGGCAGAGAGGGCTGCTGAAGATCAGCTGAGCTCCCCAGCTATCACACAGGGGGCTTCCAAAGGGTCTCCCCACCTCCATGAAGCTCTCCCTGCCCTGGGCACTCTATCCCCTCCCTCCATACCTCTTGAGGTTGGACAGGTGAACTTTTGTCTGAAGTTCTGTCTTGGTGTGCATTCCACAGGAACACTGCGGATTTATTCTCTCCTGAGCTGAAAAGCCTTTTGAAGCCATGGCCATTATCACAGGGTGGACACCTTGTCCAGGTGACCCACGGCCCCTGTGAGATGGGAAGTGGCGAGAGCCATACAGAATGAATCCAGGGAGTATGGCTTCCAGTTAAGCCGGCTCTCAGCCTTCCCACTTGGACAGTGAGAACCACAGCTGCTGCCTAGTCAAGAGAGGAGGCATCAACTGCCCAGCCCAGTGCCCAGCACCTATCAAGGAGTTCAAGCTGGTAGCTGGAGCCAGTGTTGTGGCACAGCATGCTAGGCTACCACCTGGGATGCTGGCTTCCATATGAGCACTGGTTCAAGTTATGACTGCTCTGCTTCCAATCCAGCTCCTTGGGAAGGCAGCAAAGGACAGGCCAGTGGCTGCCCCCCTGCCACCCACATGGGAGGCTCAAGATGGAGTTCCTGGCTCTTGTCTTCAGCTCAGTCAAATCCTGCTGTCACGGGCAATGGAGAAGTGAATTTGTAGAGGGGAGCTCTCTCTCCTTTTGTCACTCTGCCTGTTAAGGGCAAGTGTGATGGTTCAACTGGCTGATCCTCCACCTGCAAGCACTGGCATTTCATATGGGCAACAGTTCTGTCCCAGCTGCTTCACTTCCCAGCCAGCTCCCTGCTAATGGCCTGGGAAAGCAGCAGAAGATGGCTCAAGCCCTTGGGCCTATACAGCTCTGTGGATAGCTCCTGGCTCCTATCTTTAGGTTGGCTCAGCTCTGGCTGTTGTGGCCATAAATCTGCCTTTCCAATAAAAATACATAAATCTTTATAAAAAGATTTTAAAAAGATTTATGTATTTATATTGAAAAAGAGCAATTCTACAGAGAGAAGCAACAGAGAGGGAGACCTTCCCTCTGCTGATTAACTCTCCAAGCAGCCGCAACAGCCAAAGCTGAGCCTAATCGAAGCCAGGAGTTGTGAGCTCCTTCAGGGTCTCCCACATAGGTGCAGGGTCTCAAAGCTTTGGGCCATCCCCGACTGCTTTCCCAGGCCAAAAGCAAGGAGCTGGATGGGAAGCGGGGCCTCTGGGACACGAACTGGAACCCACATGGGATCTTAGTGTGTGCAAGGTGAGGACTTTAGCCACTAGGCTATCACACCGAGCGGTACAAAAAGATTTTTAAAAATTATTTCAAAGGCAGAGCTACAGAGAGAGGGAGAGACACACAAAAGGCCTCAGAAGGCTGCAATGTCGGAGTTGATTCATGCTGAAGCCAGGTGCCAGAAGCTTCTTCCAGGTCTCCTTTGTGGACACAGGAGGCCATGTACTTAGGCCATCCTCTGCTGCCTTCCCAGGCCACAAGCAGGGAGACAGATCAGAAGTAGAGCAGCACCCACACGGGTTGCTAAGTTTTGCAGGCAGTAACTTCACTGACTATGCTGCAACACCATCCCCCCACCCCCCTTTTGACGGGGAAAAGAAGCTGTCATCATTGAGAGATGGAAGCGGGGAAAGCCGAGTAAGACTTCTGTGTGGACCAAGAGACAACAACCTTGCTGTGTAGGCTCTGGGCAAGGATTGCAGTCTCCTGAATCCCAGCCACCTCACCTTTAAGGTGGAATTATCCAAAGAGTCCACCTCAGGACTTGTTCTCACTCAGAATCAGGCCCTGTTCTGCAGGGGCTTAGCCATATATAGGCCAGCAGGTACAATGCTTATGATAAGTGTTATCTGGGACTAAGCACTATGGACAGGGGCAGGGAGCTGTCCCCTGACCCTTCCACTGGGCCCTCACTGTGCTTGGGTGGTCAGCTCCTGGACAGCCCAGACACCCACAGCCCGGCATAGCTCAAGGATATGATCTTCGATTTCCGAGGCCATCTTGTCACAGTTGACTCCATAGCCCTTGTAATCATCTAGAGGAAGGAAGGACATGGGGGCTTGAGTCAGACAAGACTGTGGCAGTGCGCACCTTGCGGGCAAGGTCATGCCTATGCCACTGCCAGGGTGCTGGGGAAGGCTGCCCGAGGACCCCCAACCCCTTCCCTGCCCAGCAGGGTCCGCTCACCTTCTGCTTGCAGGGCTGCAGAGAGCATCTCCACGCACTTGTCCCGGATGGAATCGCCCGTGAGATAGCAGGGGGCCAGGAGGCAGACGGAGGGAGCAAACGTGGGAGTGCCGGGGCTGCTGGGCGTCTTGGGGGTCTCGGCTTTGGACTTGCTGCTGTTTGATCTGAGGAGGACAGTAGCAGACACTGTGGTCGGTCGGGTCCTGTTTTCCTGGATGACTTCCTTCCAGTCCCGGAACCACCCTTTAAGCCAGGGCCTGCTTCAGGCTCTAGATGTGGATTGACTCATTCTGGCCTCCTGATATCCCGTCCCCCTTCCCCCTCAGGTAGATATGATTCCTATCCCTGTTTCAGAGACATGTTCCCAAGTGCAGAGGGAGGGAGAAAGAGAGATGGCCAACAACAGCTGGAGCCGAAGCCAGGAGCCTAGAGCTTTTTCCAGATCTTCCACGTGGGTACAGGGACCCAAGCACTTGGGTCATCTTTTGCTGCTTTTCCAGGCACACTAGCAGGATGCTAGATTGGAAGTGGAGCAGCTAAGACTTGAACTGGCGTCTACAGGGAGTGCCAACACAGCAGGCAGAGGTTTAACCTACTATGGCTCCTTGCATTTTTATTTTTAAAGAAAATTTATTTATTTATTTGAGAGGATGAGAGGGAGAGATCTTCCATCTGTCTGTTCATTCATTCTTCAAATGCCCCAACAGCCAGGAATAGGTGAGGCCAATGGCAGAAGCCAGAAACTCCAAGTGGGTCTCCCATATGAATGGCAGGAACCCATGCACTTGGGACATTGTCTGCTGCTTGTGGAAGGGGAATCAGAAGCACAGAGTATTGGGACTCAAACTAAACCCTCTGTATTGGATGCAGGTGTCCCAAGCAGCAGTGTAACTCATGGTGCCACAAGGTCTGCTTCTTGAAATGCATGGAAAGAGGTGCTGTTGTGACCTGTTGTGGTGTATCAGGTTAAGCCACCACCTGCAGCGCTGGCATTCCATATGGGAGTCCCCACTATTCCTGCTTCTGATCCAGCCCCTGCTAATGCACCTGGGAAAGCAGCAGACCTTTGTCCCAGTGCTTGGGTCCCTGCATCCACGTGGACGACCTAGCAGAAGTTCCTGGTTCCTGGCTTCAGCCTGGCCCAACCCCAACCATTCGGAGAGTCCATCAACAGCATATAGGTTTCTCTCTGTTTTTCTCTCTCTCCCTGTAGCTTAGCCTATAAAATAAATACAATAAAATCTTTTTTTTTTTTTTAATTAACAGGCTCTTGGCTCAGGTCACATATCTGCAACAGAATTCAAACACAGGCGGCTCAACTTCCTGGGCGCCCATGCTCTTATGTCATCACAGTGTTCTATCCCCTACAGAACAGCGAGGACACAAATAATTACAGGACAATCTGATAGGCACTAGGCAGTCGCAGATACACATGCCCTGCATTTACTCACTCCGTAGGTAGTGGTTATGCAGGATTACAGCGTTGCCATGGCATGCACCACAAAGGTGCAGGAGCCGGAAGTGGGGTCCCCGAGAGGCAATGCTGGGGTGGTGAGCCTTTAAGAGGTAGAACCTAGTGGAAGGTAATTAGGGGTCATGGAGTGCTCATTAGCTCCTAAGTTCATTAAAGCTGGTCTCGGCAGAGTGAGTGAGCCAACTAGACTGCCTTTCTCGGTATGTATCCCAGCTGTCAGGTACCAGGTTAGAGTTTCGCAGTCTGGACCTCTGGAGGCATCTCTCCCCAGCACTGGGCGGGCAGCCCGGAGCAGCTCTGCGTCCAGGAGCCTGCAGCCCAACGACAGGACCGTCCTCACCGCTGACTGGCTGGTTGTAAGCAGGTGCTGGTGCCGGGACAGTGCCAGGGGCCTGTGAGCCTACCCTGCTCCTTCCTTCCTTTTTTTTTTTTTTTTTAAAGGTTTATTTATTTCTTTTTAATTGGAAAGGCAGATTCACAGAGAGAAACACCTTCCATCTGCTGGTTCACCGTCCAAGTGGCTGCCAATGGCCAGAACTGAGCTAATCTGAAGCCAACAGCCAGGAGCTTCTTCTTCCAAGTCTACCGTGTGGGTGCAGGGTCCCAAGGCTTTGGGCCATCCTCAACTGCTTTCCCAGGCCACAAGCAGGGAGCTGGATGGAAAGCAGGGCCACCAGGATTAGAACCGGCACCCATTTGGGATCCCAGTGTGTTCAAAGCTAGGATTTTAGCCTCTAGGCTATTGCTCTAGTCCCCTCCCCTGCTTTTTTAAAATTTAAATTTCTTGGGCCCGGTGTGACTGCTTGGGGAGTGAATCAAAGGACGGAAGATCTTCTCTGTCTCTCCTCCTCTCTGTATAATAATTTAAAATAATTAGAATTTCTTAACACTTACACATTTGAAAAGGAGAGAGAAAGCTTACATCTGGTGGCTCACCTGCCAAAATGCCCAGGCAGGCAGTAAGTAAAATGCCAAAACAGGTAGTAAGTCTCCCGCGTGGGTGGCAGGGGTCCAAGCACCGAGCCATCCCCACTGCCTCCAGAGAGTGGCGTTGGTAGCCAGAGCTGAGAACTGAACCCACAGTGTTGGTTTGCATCCTAGCTGCTCCCCTTCCCATCCAGCTCCCTGCTGATGCACCTGGGAAAGCAGCAGAAATGGCTCAGGTGCTTGGACCCTTGGAACATACACACACAGGAGATGACGGTGGGGTTCCAGGCCCCTGGCTTCCATTGGCCCAGCCTCTGACTATTGTCACCACTTGGAGAACGAACTAGTGGATGGAAGATTCTCTCTCCCTTTCAAATAAATAAAATGTCCACACATACATGCACACATAGCAGCTGACAAGTCATTCCCTGCTTCTGACTCTCTGACAGCTTCCAAATACTTACAGCACAACATTGAGGTGTTCGCCACTGCCTCCCAGCCCCTTCTAGACGAATCCCCTGCCGTGCGCCCTCCACCGCACAGTACTGCTCTCTTCCCTTCCCCATCGCTCCTGCCACTGTGCCTTTGCAATAATGGGTCCCTCCTCCCACAGCAGGCGTCTTCCTGCTGGTCAGCTCAGTGTCATGTCCTCAGAGTGCGTGCTTCCATGACACTTTTAGTCCAGGCAAACTGTCCCTGTCCCAGTAAGTCTGCGGCTCATCACCTGACTGCTTTCCTTCCGGCACTCCTCCAAGTTCTATAATTAACTTGCTGGGTGTTTACAAACATTGGCGGCTGCCAGTCCCAGCCTGCAGGCTCTGGAGCACAGAATCTGTGCCTTGCTCACCGCCGCGTCCCTGCACCTGCCACAGGCGCCTGGCGAATCTGTTCAGTGAATATACACATGACAAATTGAGGGAGCTGACAGAGCGAGGGAAGCGACAAGTCAGGGGGTCCAGAAAAGACTAAACCAGGGAGGGGGTGCCTGGAAACCCCATTCCCTGGGTTTAAGGGGGGGGGGTCTGGCTACCATTTCCAGCAGCAGCGATGAGGCATTGCTGACCTACGTACCCCAGGTGCAGGGCTTACTGGAGAAAACCCGCCGAAGAGGGCGCCAAGAGCAGACACCTGCATCGATTGCTGTCACTCCTGGATGCTCCCCTGGAGGCACTCTTGAATCATTCATAAAAAGATGTATTTGTTGGGCCTGGCACGATGGCTCAATTAGCTGATCCTCCACCTGCAAGCTTGAGCGTCTCATATGGTCATTGGTTTGTGTCCCTGCTCGTCCACTTCCCATCCATCACCCTGGTTTTGGCCTGGGAAAGCAGCAGAGCATGGTCCAAGTCCTCGGGACCCTGCACCTACATGGGGGACTCAAAATAAATAAATAAATAAAGCAAGCTCCTGGCTCCCGGCTGCAGATCAGCTCAGCTCTGGCCGCTGTGGTCACTTGGGGAGTGAAATGCAAGATCTTTCTGTCTCTCCTTCTGTGTAAATCTGCTTTCCCAATACAAATAAACAAATCTTTAAAAAAAAAAGTGATAAGTGTATTTGTTTATTTGAAAGGCAGAGTGACAGAGGAGAAGAGAAAAAAATGGATTGATTTTCCATTTAGTGGCTTACTCCCAAATGGTCCTTAATGCCTGGGGAGGTGCCCAGCAGAAGCCAGGAGCCCTGGCCTCCCAGGACCATCTTCCACTGTCTTCGCAGGCACATCAGCAGAGAGCTGCATGGGCAGCAGAGCATTCAGGACTTAAACTGGCACTCTGATATGGAATGCCGGTGTCACAGATGATAGCTTAATTGGCTGTGCCACAACACCCACTCAAAGGTTCAAAGTCTTTTCCTGGTGTCTGCCAGCCAGTCAGCCACACTCTGGCCTCCTTGCTTCGCTTGTCCCAGCTTCCATGCTCTCTTTCCCATGATGTCTCCCTTGCACTCTCAACACTCACCCTCCATTCCCATCACAAGAGACTTTCCACAGCAAGCATTTTCGTGTCTTCCTCTGTACTCGCTGGGAGCCAAGACTGTGAGCCTGAGGCTTGGTTTGGCCTCAGAGGTCTTTAGCAGATCAGCTGCACATGGGTTTATTTGACCTACGGTGTGTGCCTCGGTACCTTACATTCACTTTGTAGCTGGAAGACCCTGAGTGAGTTTCTGAATTTACAGATGCATTAGTTTTCCCACATGTAAAATGGGAAGAAAAGCAGAACTCATGGAATTAAAAGGATTAAAAGCAGTTAAGAGGCCCAGTGTGGTGGCCTAGCACCTCAAGTCCTCACCTTAAACATGCTGGGATCCCATATGAGCGCTGATTCTAATCCCGGTGGCTCCGTTTCCAATCCAGCTCCCTGCTTGTGGTCTGGGAAAGTAATAGACAGTCCAAAGCCTTGGGACCCTGCACCCACATGTGAGAGTCCTGGAAGAAGTTCCTGGCTCCTAGCACTGGATCTGTGTAGCACCAACCATTGTGGTCACTTGGGGAGTGAACCAGTGGCTGGAAGATCTTCCTCTCTGTCTCTCCTCCTCTCTGTATATCTGATTTTGTAATAAAAATAAAATAATCTTTAGGGAAAAAAGCAGCTAAGAGAATCCCAGCAGCAAAATACAGACGTAATTCACTTCTGCAGTCACTCTGCATATGAGCATCACTCCCATGCTTTGTGCTTTCATTCAGCACTTAATGGATTCAGAGCAGCGCTAGGCATTCCATTACTAGAGTCGGTCCTAACAACGACCTTGAGGGTTATAATTACCCCATTTCACACATCATAGGATTGAGGCTTAACCAGTAAACTGACTTGTCCAACACTATCCACTCACCAAAAGGCAGACCACAAAATAAAGTCTGCCCACCTTCAAGTTCTTTCCAACATATCCTACCGCGTCTCTGAGTTTTCTAGAATCCTCTGCTAGAGCAGGGCTAGGTTGCCTGGGACGTTTCCTTCCTACCTTTGTGGTGGGGTTAACCTGCACAGGTTCTTCCTGCTTGGCTAGGAACTGGCTAGTTGGCGAGAATTTGTGTCAGGGTGACATTTCAGGCAAGTCACATTAATTTTATTTTCAATGCATACGATTGGGAACTTAGCCAAACTGCAGGGAAGGCAGCATCGGCTGGGGCAAGCGTGGGAGTCAGCTTTATCAACAGTTTCTGCTCTCCAGATCTGCCAGCGCCAATGCCCTTGGAAAATCTGGCCCCATGGGCCCGGCGCGGTGGCGCAAGTGGTTAAGTCCTCGCCTTGCACGCCCGGGATCCCATATGGGCGCCGGTTCTAATCCCGGCAGCCCCGCTTCCCTTCCAGCTCCCTGCCTGTGGCCTGGGAAAGCAGTCGAGGACGGCCCAAGGCTTTGGGAACCTGCGCCCGCGTGGGAGACCCGGAAGAGGCTCCTGGCTTCGGATCGGCATAGTATCGGCCCGTTGCGCTCACTTGGGGAGTGAATCATCGGACGGAAGATCTTCCTCTCTGTCTCTCCTCTCTGTATATCTGCCTTTCCAATAAAAAATAATAAAAAAAAAAAAAAAAGAAAAGAAAATCTGGCCCCAGGTCTGAGCAGATGCACCTGCCGGCTGGGCTTGCTGTTCCTGAGTGCCACCTTGAGGTCGTTTCAGGCACTGCACTGCCAAGCATGCAGTGACAGGCAGTCACAACCCTGACAGTTGGGCTAAAGCCCGCTGATGGATGTACAAGGTCTTTCCCGTTACCCAGGATGTCCTTTGTGGTCAGCTTCCTGGTGTTCCAGGGGATTGTTCCCGGAGCGCCACATTCACTCCTGCTGTCACATCTTTGCATGTGCCATTCCCGCTGCCAGGGACGCCCCCTTCTGGCTGTCTACTAAACTCCTGTTCACCTTCATGGTTCAGCCCTCAGTTTACCCACTGGCTCTCTGTCAAGTCCCCCCTGACTGCTCCACACCACGGGACATTCACACTATATACCCATTCCATATTTTTTCTCCTCCTCCCTTAGTGTAATAACAAGTGCTTTGCCTGTGCTCTGTAGAAGCTGTTGGCCCTGGGAAGACAGCAACCCTGAGTTTCAAACTGCTTGGCCTTAGAGGTCACAAGCGCACAGGTTTCATGTATGTCTGGCCTGCTTGGCTATGTCTTAGAAAAAACGTGAATATAATGCCAGTACTTGAAACTGGGGGCTTGGGAGGGTGGATGGTGCAATGGCTCAATTGGCTAATCTTCTCCCTTCAAGAGCTAGCATCCATCCCATTTGCGCACCAGTTCATGTCCTAGCTGCCCCACTTCCCATCCAGCTCCCTGCTTGTGGCCTGGGAAAGAAGCAGAAGATGGCCCAAAGCTTTGGGACCCTGCACCCATGTGGGAGAGACCTGAAAGAAGTTCCTGACTCCTGGCTTTGGATTGGCTCAGCTCTGGCCATTGAGGCCATTTTTGGAGTGACTCAGAAGATGGAAAATCTTTCTCTGTATCTCCTTCTGTCTGTGAATCTGTCTCTCCAATTAAAACGCTGGGGGCTTCATAAGAGAATCTAGATGTCCAGCTTTCCCTAACTGGTGGGCATATAAGGCAAACACTAGGCATAGAAGTTGACACCGTGTGGGCTGCATGCATCCCTTCTCAGTGTCTGGGTTTGTGTCCAAGCTCCACTTCCGATCCAGCTTCCTGCTAATGCACACCCTGAAAGGCAGCAGATGATGGCTCAAATATTTGGGTCCCTGCTCTCTAGGAATGTGAGGGATATGATTTGAGTTTCAGGTTTCTGGTCTTGACATGGTCTAGCACTGGCAGTTGCAGGCATTTGGAGCAGTGAACCAGTATATGGAAGATCTTTCTCTGCCTTCCAAATAAAAACAAAAATTTTCCAATTTCACGTCAGGTCTGAATTTCCATGAAGCAGCAATCAGCTGAGGCTGGGCTGCCTGCCATGGTTTCCATTGTGTGTGCATGTGGCCTCTCCCCAGGGGATGCTGAGTTTCTAGCCAGGGTCTAAATGAATGAGTGGATGGATGGATGGATGGATGGATGGATGGATGGATGGATGGATGGGTAGATGAAAAAGGTGATGCAGAGGCAGACAGTCTAAGAGCCCAAAGAGAAGGGAACTTGAGTATGCAGGATAGGAGAGAGAATGTGCTCACAGGAGATCTGCTCTCTTCCTTTGGGTAGTCCTCCCACCCTCAGTGCAGAAACAGTACCAATGTGAAGAGGACAAACCTAGTACTGTTGGCCGACCTTCAGCAAAGGAGGGAGGGAGGGAGCCAGCAGGCCTCAAGGTCACAAAGCAAAGCCAGGAGGGGACTCTAGAAGTGAAATTTCTGACCCAGCTGTCAAGTGCTTCTCCCACAGCAGTAAACCAAGAACTGGACTCATGGTCACTGTTTTACCAAGGACAGGACAGTCCTTTCTCCCACGGCCCAGGACAGTTGACTCAGTGCCAGTGAGGAGGGGTGACGCTATGGCAGGTAAAGCTGTTGCCTGCAGCATTGACATTGCTTATAGGTGCTAATTTGAGTCCCAGCTGGCCCATTTTCAAGCCAGTTCCATGCTACAGGCTTGGGAAAAGCAGTGAAAGATAGCTTACATGCTTGGGCCACTGCTACCCAAACAAAAGACCTGGAAGAAGCGCCTGGCTCAAGCAAGCTGTTATGGCCATTGGAAAAGTGAACCAGTGGATGAAGATCTCTTTCTCTTTCCCTCCCTTTTCAATAAATAAATGTATGTATATATTTTAAAGGTGCTGCTTAGGACAGGCACCTCGCCCAGGAGTGCCTGGGGCTGAATGCAGGGTGTGTTTCCTATTCCAGCTTCCTGCTAAGGTACACCCTTGGAGGCAACAGGTGATGGCTCAAGGACCTGGGTCCTGCCGGTCATGTGGAGGACCTGGATTCTGCTCCTGTCTGCTGGCTACGACCCTGGGCAGCCCAGGCTGCTGGTATCTGAGGAATGAATCAGCTGGCAGAAATTATCTACCTTTCAAATTCATTAGAATAAAACAAACAGATAAACAGATTATATAATGTGTAGAATCCAATCCCCTTACTGACCTGCCACATCACCCAGAATCTAATGCAGTCGCTAGACCTGCATCATGTGCCACTTCCTGCCTGGGCTACTCTGCCCCACCTCCCTGGCTTCTGCTCTGACCTCTGGTCTCCCATTGAGCCTCAATTCACACCACTCCTTGGTAATCCCACCCAGGGTTGCAGCTTTGAACTTGGGACGCCAGCTACATGCTAATGACCCTGACATTAACATCTCTTCCTGAATTCTGGCCTCCAATCACTGGACTGCTACTCGCCCCTCCCTGTGGATGACAAGCACACTCCCAGCCCCACACAGTTAAGCCAAGCTCCTGACACTGCACTTCAAGTCGGGTCATCGCGCACCCTTCCCCACACCATGGATGGACACTCCACCCTTGCCGGTGTTCAGTGGAAACCCGGGACCTGTGCGTTCCTCATGCTCCATGGAAATCAGTGCTTCATTCATCACAGCTTCCCAACCCACTGCTTCCCCCTGGGCTCAGGCCACCAGCACCTGCAACAGCTCTGCCCGGGCCTCTACGCGCTCAGTGCATTAGCTAGTGCAGCCCTGCTGGGTTCAGAGACTAAAGTCCCAAACTCAATCCCCGCAACAGCTCCTGTTTCTAAGCCACTCCAAGTGACTCTTCCCACTGCCACACCCCCTCTCCCCTTCCCCGCCCGCTTACTGTTCTCCACACTGCCAGACACACTCCCACCCTAATGACTGCAATGGCCAGCTCCCTGACAGATCTCCCTGAGGTCGCTTTTGGTCACCCTGATGACCAAAAAGGTCTCCAAGCCTTCTCCATTCCCACTCTTTCCCACAACGCTCTGTTCTTTCCTTCCTTCCTTTTTTTTTTTTTTTTTAAGATGTATTTGAAGGCAGAGAGACAGAGAAAGAGAAAGCTCTTTCACCTGCTGTTTCACTCCCCAAATGGTTGCAATGGCCAAGTCTGGGCCAGGCCAAAGCCGGGAGCCAGGAGCTTCCTCTAGATCTTCCCAATGGGTGTAGGGCCCCAAGCGCTTGGGCTGTCCTCCACTGCTTTCCCAGGTGTTTTAGCAGGAGCTGACTTGGAAGTGGAGCAGCCATATGGAATATTGGCACTGCGCAACACCAGCTCCCTGCACTGTCCCTTCGAAACCATCGGGTAAGTCTCTTATTAGAGGCATTGCCTGTCTCCCCACCCCTTGACTGCAAGGATTTCTGCACTAGGCACACAGAATCTCCATCCACACCTGATGAAGGAAGGTCTTGATGATTTAGGCTACTCTTGGGCAGACACTCTAACCAGTTCACACCAAATCCAGAGAAGCCATTCCAGGAACGTGCTTCATGACCTCTCTCTTCAGTAGGTAGCACTTGACCTTGGAGACACTACCCCATGAGGGACCAACAACCGCCTCGCTAAAGGAGCCACATTTGTGGGTCCTTGAACTTGAAGGGGCACACATGGCAGCCTCCTTTACCTGTCCACTGAGGGCCTTTTTGGAGATGAGGAGGTAGAAGACCTGGAGTCCGCAGAGTCTTTCCTAGAAGAAGAGAAATTGGCAATGAGACTGTCACGTGGACTAACCTTGTGGGCTGGGCCAAAGCAGACCCCCAGACCCTGGCAGCCTGGAGAGTTCCGGTCAGCCCTCACCTGCCCTCCATCCAGAGGAGGAAAGCAGTATTTGGCAGGCCCAGGTGTTGGGTCATGCGTTCACCAATCCCTCATCATGAATTCTGAGCAGGTGGCTCCCATCCTGTCATCAGGCAGGCTGTGGCTAACTGAAGGAGGAACACCGGATTCCTGGGGCTCCCTAAATTCATCTGTAGTCACAGAAAGTGAGATTGCTTCAGCCTCCCCAGCAGGGCACCTTCAAGGGAAAGCTGGAGCACATGGGTCTTACAAAGAGGAGCTGGCTGGGTTCTAACAACATGTGAAAAAGTAGGGATCTACCAGATGTTTACTGTGCTGACTGTCATGCAAGATAGCCAATGGTATAGGAGCCTGGTATTGGAGCCAAGTGGCTAAAATCCTCGCATTACATGCTCTGGGATCCCAAATGGGTACCGGTTCATGTCCCAGTGGCCCTGCTTCCCATCCAGCTCCCCACTTGTGTCCTGGGAAAGCAGAAGAGGATGGCCCAAAGCCTTGGGCCCCTGCATTTGCATGGGAGACCCTGAAGAAGCTCCTGGCTTCAGATTGGCTCAACTCTGGCTGTTGTGGCCACATGGAGAATGAATCAGCAGATGAAAGAACTTTGTCTGTCTCTGCTTCACTCTGTAAATCTGATGTTTTGAAGAGGGCCCAGGCAGGCTCTTATTTCAGCACAACTGATAAGTGTCCTTGCCTTTGAGTTTTCTTAATGACAATTCATATTCTATCCGATTCCAGAGCTGGAACCGTGTTACAAAGACAGACTGAGGAACGTCTGGCCCCTCTCCCAGCGGGGTGGAGAGGCCGCTCGGGACAGTGACAATCACACAGCCCCAGCTGCCGGTAGTTCAGGCAGACACTGTCACACACAGAATGCTGGTGACAAACAGCACCTACAGCGCACTTCCAAATGCACTAAGAGGCAAGGTCCTGTATGTTTCCTCCGGACAGGAATTATCTGCTGCCCCCCAGGGTGTGCGTGAGCAGGAAACTGGCATCATAAACAGACCTGGCTCTTGAACCCCGGTACTTCAATATGGAATGAAGGCATCCCAAGCAGGATCTTTTTTTAAAAAAAAAAAAAAGATTTATTTTTATTATAAAGTCAGATATACAGAAAGGAGGAGAGACAGAGAGGAAAACTTTTCGTCTGATGACTCACTTCCTAAGTGACCGCAATGGCTGGTGCTGCACCGATCCAAAGCCAGCAGCCAGGAACTTCCTCCAGGTCTCCCACGTGGGTGCAGGGTCCCAAGGCTCTGGGCCATCCTCGACTACTTTCCCAGGCCAAAAATAGGGAGCTGGATAGGAGGTGGAACTGCTGGGACTTGTACCAGCGCCCATATGGGATCCTGGTGTGTTTAAGGCAAGGACTTTAGCTGCTAGGCCACAGCGCTGGGAACCCAAGCAGGATCTTAAAGCCCAACCCCATATATAATGTGTGTGAGTGCTTGTTTCAAGATAAGAGCTGATGCTTTACTTTTTTCTTTGTATCTGAAAACATTTCACAGTAAACAACTAGTTACCTGGATAATGATCTAAATCATCTAATAACTCTATTACAAACCCAACTTTCATTTGTAAGAACTAAAGTTAATAGTGTCCATTTTTCAGGCCATACTGTTGAGTCTCAGAGACCAAGTACAAGGATAAGTGGTCAAGTCCAGCCCAGGACCCTGGCTTTCTGTGTGTCAGTTACCTGTTCCCCCACCAGTGGCTCCTGTAGGGTTCTCAACGAAATCCCTTCCCTGACCCTGGGACTTGGGGATGCAGCCAATGGACGTCCACGTGTTGCAGCTGCCACCTCCACTTCCTGTTCTAGCCATCTGCTCGCTCAGCAGTGCGGCTCCTGGTCTTCTGACTTCATCTCACGAGACACCACTCACCTGGCCCTTCACTCGGCCTAGGTGCTAAACAGCAAGCAGGTCCTTGTGGCAGGACCAGATCGGGAGGGTCATGACCAGGAGTCACCAGAGCGCTGCACTGGCCCTTGGGGTCCAGCAGCCAGGACATGCCTGCTCTGTGCAGGGCACCCTGAACAGTGCCAGGGCATCCCTGGCAGCTCTAACTTCTCCGGGAAAACAAACAGACCTCAATGGAAAGTTAAATGTTAACTAGGAGTTGAAAAGGTAGCATACAATTGCAGATTGAGTAAGTGAAAGACGGAGCATAGAAACTGTTATAGACACATTTGACGAGTAATAAGTTCTATTGCATTTCACTAATTTTTTTTTCCAGTTCCTTATTGGAACTTTGTAAAATATGCATATATGTACGTACGTATGTATGTGTTTGAAAGGCAGGCAGTGAAAGAGAACACAGCCACCAGCTTCCTCCCCAGCCATCGCCTGCCGCCTATACATTACAAGAAACTAAGTCAGGTCTCAAAACTACACACGTAATGGATTTGGGGGTCCCAAGCATCAACTTAACCGCTATACCCAACACTCACCCCCTAAAATTGAAAAAGCAGATGAGAAAACTGGTGATGGTTTAGACAACAAATCAAAGAGAGAATAGGAAGACCAGTTGGTTGTTAATCAAAATATTAACATTGATTGGTTTTGGATCGTGAGAATTTTTCTCTTTTTACATTTTTTTTAAGATTTTATTTATTTATTGGAAAGTCAGATATTCAGAGAGGAGGAGAGACAGAGAGGAAGATCTTCCATCCGATGATTTACTCCCCAAGTGAGCGCAACGGCCAATGCTATGCCAATCCAAAGGCAGGATCCAGGAACTTCTTCCGGGTCTCCCACAAGGGTGTAGGGTTCCAAAGCTTTGGGCCATCCTCGACTGCTTTCCCAGGCCACAAGCAGGGAGCTGGATGGGAAGTGGAGCCTCCATATGGGATCCCAGCATATTCAAGGTAAGGATTTTAGCCACTAGGCCACGCCGCCTGGCCCCTTTTTACATTTCTATAGCAGGCTTTCATCACTCTTATTTTTAAAAGTTATTTATGTATTTGAAAAGCAAAACACCAGAGAGTAGAATAAACAGAAAGAAAAAGGAATCTTCTATCCGCTGATTCACTCCCCAAAAGGTGCAACAGCTAGAGCTGGGCCCAGCTGAAACCAGAAGCAAGGGATTCCATCATGGTGTCCTACACAAGCAGTAGGGACCAAAGTGTTTGGACCACCCACCTGCTGCTTTCAAGGACCATTAGCAGGAAGCTGAATAAGAAGCAGAGCAGCCAGGACTTGAAATGGCATGTGAGGGCCCATCATACCAGCGTAGCGGTTAATGTCCTTGCCCTGAACACACTGGGATCCCGTATGGGCACCGGTTCTAATCCCAGCTGCCCCGCTTCCCGTCCAGCTCCCTGCTTGTGGCCCGGGAAAGCAGACAAGGATGGCCCAAAGCCTTGGGATCTTGCACCCATGTGGGAGACCTGGAAGAGGCTCCTGGCTTCGGATTGGCTCAGTTCCAGTTGTTGCAGTTGCTTGGGGAGTGAACCATCGGATGGAGGATCTTCCTCTCTGTCTCTCCTATCTGTACATCTGCCTTTCCAATTAAAATCAATAAATCTTTAAAAAAAAAAAAAAAGAAAGAAATGGCATATGATATGGAATTTTAGTGCTGCAAGTGACAGCTTAACCTGATGAGTCACACCACCAATCCCTGTTCTTATCTGTTTAATATCTGTTCTTATCAGTTTAATATCTGATACGTCCTCTACCCCCAGGACAACATATTAAATGGGTGTTTAGAGCAAGAATTAGAATAGGAGCTTGCTCTGTCCACTCTGCACATTGACCTGGTAGTGCAATGCTTCAAGGAACAGTGCACCCCCCTCGGGAGAATAATATTAATAATAATAAAGACCATGCTATTTGCTCTGATTTCAAAAGCAACAGAGGATCATTGTGGAGGAAAAAGCCAACATTCTGCTCCGAGATCAACGTCCACACTGGGTTCCCCGATAAGACGCAGCTGAAACACCGAGAAACAGCCCGGAATCTGCATTTTTACTAGCGTCTCAAGTCATTGCTTTATGTGGAAGGCACAGTGACAGAAGGTGGAGGGGAAATACAAAGAGAAGACAGACATGGAGGGATAGAGCTCTTTCCTCCACCCCTGAAACAGGTGGGGCTAGACCAGGCAGAAACCAGGATCCAGGAACTCCACCCTGGTATCCTACATGGGTAACAGGGACCCCACTTCTTGGGTCATCTTTGACTGCCTTCCCAGGAGCATCAGCAGACAGATGAAAGTGAAACAGAGCAGCTTTGCTTTGGGACATCAGAATCACAGGTGGTGGCTGAACCCACTGCATCGCTGCATCTTTTTATTTTTCTTTAAAAATTAGTATGGGACTGGCAGTGTGGTATAGCAGATTAAGTCCATTCGAGTCCCAGCTGTTCAGTTTCCAACTCAATTCCCTACTACGGCAAGTAGTTGGAGCCCTGCACCCACATGGGAGGCCTGGATGGCCAGGCACCTGCCTGGCTTTGGCCTGGCACTGCCACAGCCCAGCCAATGAGGCTGCTTGGTGAAGTGAGCTGCAGGAGAACATTGTGACCCTAGAAGGTCAGCGAGCACAGGATTACAGTTGATTGGATAATATTTGTGTGATAACAACCAAATGGATACCTTCTGTATAACTGATTGGATGTCACTTGTATGAGAACAGTTAATAGAATATACAAAACAAAAGGAGTTCCAGACAAAAGTATAGAAACAGTTGATGAGTTTTGTTGATGAGCTCAATACTTCCTCCCTTATCCCATATGACCCTCAGTGTATAAAGTCTGATGCCACTAATAAACTTCGGCTTTGACCATCAGAGTCCACACGTGTTATTATTGGCTCCGTGCACCAAGTCCATCGCTGAGGGACAGCGACAGTGAGCCAATTAATGGAAGATCTCTCTTGCACTCTTTGTAACTCTCCCTTTCAAATAGATACATCTTTTAAATTAGTACATATTTATTGGAAAAGTATAAACAGAAATTTGCAAAACAAAAATATTCCTCATGCCGTCATCCAAAAATAATCACTAAACCACTATTACCATGGTAACCTGCCTTCTCTGATTTCTGTAAATCTATCTATACTGTATATATTATCTCATACATGGTTTCTCTTAAATTTCAGTGTAATTTCCCTGTGCCATTAAACATTTTTCAATCCTGTAGCGTTTCTCTTTAAGATCCTATGGGCATCTGAGCGTCACACATGCCAACATCCTTTGATATCCATGGGAATCCATTCCATCAGCTCTGTGCATCTGAATGTGCAGATGGCCCAGTAGAAGCATGGGTGCTGTGGTGCAGCATGTTCAACCACTGCGTGGGACAGCTGCACCCCACACTGGAGTTTCAGGTCCTATCCTGGCGCCTTGACTTCCAGTCCAGCTCCCCAATGCCTCCTGGGAGGCAGAAGATGATGGTGAGCTGGTCAGCTCAGGTCCTGGGGTCCCATCACCCAGGTGGTGTTCCAGATGGAGCTCCTGGCTCAGCACTGGCTGTTGTGATAATTCAGGAGCATGAACAAGCAGATGAAGGATCTCTTTCTCTCCCTGCCCCCTCCATTAGTTTCTTTCTGCCTTTCAAATAAATAAAATGTTTCTAAAATGGATTCAGAGCTCAAAAATATCTCAGCAACACCAGCAGAGAAATGTGAGACGAAGAAGACATCATCTTTGTGCTTTAATCTAATTTTCTTTCAATTATTTAATTCACTGAAGACAGAGAGGCAAAGAGGGAGAAACAGACAGACCCTCCACCTGCAAACTCATTCCCCAAACACCCATGACAGCTGCAGAACAGCAGGCCAAAGCCAGAAGCTGGAACATAATTCAGACCTCCCACGGTCTGCCTCCGCAGGAAGCTGGAACCAGGAACTGGAGCTGGGAATTGAACCTAGGCATTCCAGTGCGGGCCATGAGTGTCTTAACTAGTATCTGAGCTGCTAGGCCCAATACCTGCCCCTGATGAATTTATTAAAACGGAACTGCTTGTAGAAAGGGTTGGAAGGAATCCACACAAACGTGTTGTTAGATCGTGGTAGCAGGTGTCTCCAGCATCATCTGACACACCTTCCATGGCCAGATGGACAAACGCAGACCCAAGAGTCAAAGCATCTTGTAGTCAGAACAATCAGGCAGGACTTCACTTGCCATATGGAAAAGCAGGGTCTCTCTCAGAGTCATGTACTTAGGGGACACCCGTCTAGGGGCACAGGCGCAAAGGGTATGGAGTGGGGCCAAAGAACTGCTTTGCTTTTCTCAGCAGGAGAACCAGGGCCCAACAGAGGGTGATCCACTCTGTCTCCCTGTGCAACCAGCAGCCATGCACCGTGTCTCGGTCAGACAGACCACACGTGGACCACACGGATCACATCGTAGCTTGTGTCAGTTTGTGTCAGTCCACTTTATCATGTCCACACAGTGACAAAGTCGCCAAGGGATGTGTTTTCCAGAACGGATCCCGCCATGAAGTTTTGTATTACTATAACTGGGGGCAATCGGTTTCTTTTTTGTTAGAGGGAAATGTTAACAAAAGATTTAAACCACATCAAGTCTTCTTCATGGACAAGCGAACCCCTCGCCCCGGTTGCCCTGGAAACCTGCAGAGGCAGACTGTCAGTGGGGTTACTAGACAACACTGCTTGGAGAGCAAATGACTTCTGCCTGCTCAATTGTCTAGACAGGAAGGACTTCGAACAAACCATAAACAACCAGGGGGAAAAAACACAGCTTCCAGGCCACCTGAATGCAGGGGCCTCACCCTTGCTAGAATCACAGGAGCTTGATCTACGGACAATTACATGATTTGGGGCATGCACATACAATAGGGGTGTGTATGTCTTTGTGTGTCTAAGCTGGGGGTTCCCTCCTACAATGACCCCATCTGGGCTATTGTCCTTGTGACCACAGAACACAGCCAAGGATGGCTGTGTGACCTCCCTGAGGCTGCCCTGCCAGCCCATTGATTCCTGCCTCTGTCTCCTTCTAGGGGAGCCAGTGCCTCATACCGCCTGTTTGGGTCTTGGCAGACCAGTGGAGAACGCACTGCCCAATATGGTGACCTTTACTGCCCAGGGCACCGACCGGGCACTGCAGCCAGGGGAAGGGGGAGCCCCGTGGCACAGCTAGCTAAGCCACCGTGTCACAATATCACAGTGCTTAGGATTGAGTCCTGCTTCCAGCCAGCTTCCTACTAACGCAGGATCTTAGGAGACTCCCTGGACCAGGGAGCATCTGCCATAGGGGTAGAGACAGTAACAGAAAATGGATGATTGGATACTGGGAGGTGTGGAAAGTCATGAGCGGTTTCCTTTTGTCTCTCACCTTCTGCAAGGAACAAGAAGAAACAGCAAATTTGGAAGCAATGAATTCACTCAACCTAAACCTTGATCCTTCCTACGCTGATCAACCATGTAATCATTATTAAAAATAAATAAATAAAGAAACAAATAAATAAAATGACCGCGGAAAAAATACCTGCATTTGGACTCTTTCCCTTGACTTTTCTTTGATGGAGAGAGGCCTGTTTCTGGTTTCCAGTCTGCACCTTCGGGACCTTTTTCTTCCTTTCTTGTTTTTCCTCCTTCCTCTCCTTTTTTTCCCTTAGGAGTTCCTGGAGAGTCTGAAAACAAAAAGGTGACACTGTCCCTTAACTCAGTTCTGTCGCCACAGTCCCAGCCTCAACCAGACTCTGGGAACAAGTAGCAAAGGGCAGGGACGAAGTCGGCTGTGCAGACCCCACGACCCCCCCACAGGTACAGTGGGCACAAACGCATCTTCTCCTATGCAGGGCTTTCATTCACACACACACACACACACATCTATGGACACCTGCATACATGTGTGTGTATACAAGCATGGACCGCACAGGGGACTTTCCAAAGTTTGTGTGAAATGGAATTAAAAGGTAAGTTAATCTAGGTGCAAGAAAAATTTGAAACTCATGTATAATGAGAGATCTTTAAAACACTCATGAAAATGCATATTTTACAAAAATATGCATGCATTTAAAAATTTTGCATCGGGCCCAGTGCGATAGCATAGTGGTTAAAGTCCTCGCCTTGCACGTGCCAGGATCCCATAGGGGCACTGGTTCTAATTCCGGCAGCCCTGCTTCCCTTCCAGCTCCCTGTTTGTGGCCTGGGAAGGCAGTCGAGGACAGCCCAAAGCTTTGGGACCCTGCACCCGCGTGGGAGACCCAGAAGAGCTCCTGGCTCCTGGCTTTGAATTGGCTCAACTCCAGCCGTTGCAGCCGCTTGGGGAGTAAACCATCGGATGGAAGATCTTGCTCTCTGTCTCTTCTCCTCTCTGTATATCTGCCTTCCCAATTAAAATAAATAAATCTTAAAAAATTTTACATCAAAATAAACTTTCTAAAATACGTATTTATTTTGAAAGCTGTATCCACTTATTCAAAAAGCAAAGTGACCGAGAGAGGGAGACACACACAGCAGAACGAGGGTGAGAGAACTACTCACTCCCCAGATATCTGCAACAGCACAGTCACGCCAAAGACCAGAGCCAGGAACTCCATTAGGGTCTCCCATGTGGGTAGCAGGGACCCACATACTTGAGCCATCACTTGCTACCTCGGAGATTGTGCTTGAGGCTGAAGCTGGGATTAGCAGCAGAGCCAGGCCCTCTGATACAAAACTGTTCTGAAGGAGTGGTCCCTTTTTGTTTTTTTAACTGACACTGGATTAGCGGAGTGGGAGGTGAGGGAGAGGGACTTGGCATGGGAGCTGCAAGGGCTTAAGAGGCGATGACTTGGGGACAGCAGACCTGCCCCCAGTTAAGCACATGTCCACACTGTCACCAGCAAGCTGAGCTTCAGTGGGGAAGCCACCACGTGGCTGATGCCTGGACTGCCCAGAGACACCAACCTCTCTCAGAGCCCGGGGATCTGCTTGGTCATCAATTAATGTATGGACCCATTTTTTTTTTTTTCCAATCTCACCTGCAGCTACTCCTACCCTTTTAACTCACCCACCCCCTGTGTTTTCTGACTGACTGGGTTAAAAGAGCTTATTTTGGATCCAGAGAACACATCTTAAAAAAAAAAAAATCTTTCCTCTTCCCGGCTCTCATTTCTGGTGAAATGGCTGTCCAGCAGCCAGACACAGGGACCAGATCACTTCGTCTGGTAGCAAAGTGGTGTTTCCAGGAGCAGCTCAATGTGCTGAGCCAATACCTGCTGCTTAACTTGAGCACCAACTTTCTCAAGTTCCCTTGAATATACAAACATAGAAGCACACACACACACACGTAGGCACATGCACACAACTGACACATGCATGAAACGTGCTCCTGCACCACACAGGCCCTGGTGCTCCCCATTGTAACTTGCCATCCGCGAAGTCACCTGACACACGGAGTGCACGCTATGAGCCAGGCACCACCCCATTACACACAGAAGGCGGTTCGAGTTAACCTCGGCCCCGCTCACCGAGCAGCCGCTTCCAGTTCTTGATGAGAACCTTGGCCAGGGACACCACCTCTTTGTCTGAGCAGTGCTTTCGGACCCCATTCACAGCGACTCCGATCCTGGTGGTCTGCAAAGGGAAGAGGTTACGGGCCGGGCTGGGCATGTAGGACCTCCCCCAGTGCCTCCACCACTTCCTCTGACTTCCAGACCTGACCCAAGTTTTAATAAGCCCCTAGTGCTGGAAGATCTGATGCTCAGGGCTCCTGGATGGATAACTGGTCTCCTGGCAATGGGGCAGGGTGGGGCTGGGTGCCACTAGGATCCCCAACCCCCATGATCTGTGCACATCTTTCAGCCTAGAAGCTTCTGGGAAACTCTGGGGGGCGGGGTATGAGGACAACATGGGGATGATTTCCTGGTTCACTGGCCTCTTGGGCATCCAAGAAAAGTCAGCCAGTCATTCTCCCAGAACTGGAGGGGACCCCTTGCCCCTTCCCAGGGTCTGTTCTTAGAACTCCGCCCCGCCCCTCCAGAGTCTCTGCTGGAGTTTCCTCCCATCCATGGCAGTTTCCTTTCTCCCCACCCCGATCGACCAGCCACCCCAGCTCTCAGCCCCACTCCACCTGCAGTAGTTGCACGGACATCCGGTAGCCACTCAGCTTCTTCAGAAGGTCCAGGGCTCCTTCCTGTGAGAGGCCAGAAGGTGACAGTTGAGGCTCCAGCCCTGCCAGGGCTTCTCCATCTGCTATGGGCTTTTGTCGGGGAGGGGACAGGAGGCCAGATAGACACATGGCTGAAGGGCAAGTCAGGGGCAGAAAGAAGCTAGAGAAGAGGTAGTGGGCATCGTGGCCTGCATCCCTGGGCAGGGTGCCCTGCTGGAGTCCCCGCTCCTCTGCTTCTGAGCAGCTTCCTGCAGCTGCACCTGGGAGACAGCAGGTAATGGTCCATGCTCTTGGACCCCTGCCACCCATAGGGACACCTGGAGGGAGTCCCTAGCTCCTAACATTGGCTTGGCCCAGTCTTAGCTGTTACGGCCATGTGGGGAGTGAACCAGTCGATGGAAGATCTCTTTTTTCTTTCTTTGTCACTCTGCCTTAAAAAAAAAATTATTTATTTATTCTTATTTGAGAGAGATTTACAGAGAGGGATGGGTATATGTGTGTGTGTGGATAGATAGACCTTCCATCCACTGGTTCACTTCTTAAATGGCTGTAACAGCCGGAGCTGAGCCAGAACTAGGAGCTTCTTCTAGGTCTCCTACGTGGGTGCACGGACCCAAGGCTTCGGGCCATCCTCTACTCCCTTCCCAGGCCACAAGCAGAGAGCTGGATGGGAAGTGGAGCAGCCAGGACTTTAACATCCATTTGGAATGTTGGCAAAGCCACCACACTGACCCCATACATAGATCTTTTTCAAAAAAGAGAAGGGGACAGTTCTGTCCAGAGCAGCTCTCCATCCATTCCCCACCACCCAGCTGGTTTCACATGGCTCTGGCCAGGGTTCAGCCTAAACTCCTGACCGTGCCCTCTGGCTTCTACTGGGCTCTTCCCTCCCCCGCTGTTCCCTCCGATCTCAAAGATATCACTGTCTGTGTGCGTGTGGAGGCTCCTGGCATCACCTCAGCCAGGAGCTTCACAGGGTGAGGACTGTGGGAGTTTTAAGCAGTTTTATTGACTTGGGATGGATACACCACATACTGCACATGCTGGAGAACAGAGCTTAACAATTTCTGACACCCAGGACGCAGCCCTAGACGCCCCCTTTTCTGGGACCCCTTTTCAAGCCAGCCTCTGCCTTCTGCCTTACATAATCCCTGCCCTGTTTTCAGTCACTGCAGGTGATCTTACACTTTTAAGGATTAAAAAAAAAACACACACACACATTTATTTATTTTTTTTTTGGAAAGGCAAATCCATAGAGAGAAGAGGGAAAAATCTGCTGGTTCACTCCCCAAATGGCTAAAATGGCTGGGGTTGAGCTGATCCGAAGCCAGGAGCCAGCAGCTTCTTCTGGATCTCCCATGTGTGTGTAGGGTTCCACATGTGTGCAGGATGGCTTTGAGCTGTCCTCTACTGCTTTCCTGGGCCATCAGCAGGGAGCTGGGTAGGAAGTGGAGCAGCCGGGATAAGAACTGGTGCCCACATGGGATGCTGGCACTTGCAAAGGGAGATTAATAAACTGAAACACTGTGCGAAGTCCCTGATGGCTTCTTTTTTTGCTTCACAAAACCATAGTTCCTACTGACTGCTGACTAGTTTGCCTATATCTCGGTTTCATCTATTTACTTATCCATTAACCTGTTGGTGGAACTTTGGGTTGGTTTCCAGTTTGGGGTTCAGAGAAATGAAGCTCCCAGAAATGCTCATGTTTGGGTCTTTGTGTGGACCAACAAACACTCTCATCTCTCGGGTTTGGAAAGCTGTTAGTCTTTGGGAGCTTAGGGCTCTGTTTGCAGCCCGGTGCTATATAAACAGGAAAAGAATTAACAGTAAGGTTAATGAACAGAGCAGGGAAAAGAGGAGGTTGACAGGTGAAAGTTGGGCTGCCAGGCACCAGCTTCCTCCCTGCTCCTCCTCCGCCTTCCTCCACCCTCTCCTGTCACTTCTGGCTCCATGGGCTGAGATCAAGCACAGAGTGAGAAGCCAGCCTGGGCCTCCTGTCCTGAGATGCATTCCCCAGGAATCCCCAGTGTCTCCACCCCAACAGCATGGTTCCAGCTGCCGGCTCTGCCCTGCCCAGGACCTGGAGCACATCCCAAGAGCTGCCCGCTGTCAGTCCCTAGCTTCTGCTAGAACTGGATTCGTTCCCAGCCCATTTTCAGAGCTGTGACCTACAGATGCATGCACATGTAGACTTGTGGGATACGTTGCAGGTGTGACATTCAGTGAAGGCATCCGTGTGTCGGCCACTCTACTCGGTGCCTCACCTGCTTCATGTCTACATCAACATTTCACTTGTTCGTTTTCATGCATTTGAAAAACGGAAAGACATGCAGAGAGAAACAGATGGATCGAGTCTATCAACTCCTCCTCTCCTGAAATATTTAACAATATCCAGGGCTGGGTTAGGCTGAAACCAAGAGCTTGAAACTCAATCTGGGTCTCCTATATGGGAGGCAAGGACCCCCTGCTGCCTCCCAAGTCTGCATTGGTGGGTGTAGAAAGACATTGTAGGGCCCGGTGGCGTGGCTTAGCGGTTAAAGTCCTCATCCTGAATGCGCCGGGATCCCATATGGGCGCCAGTTCTAATCACAGGCAGCTCCATTTCCCATCCAGCTCATTGCTTGTGGCCTGGGAAAGCAGTCGAGGACAGCCCAAAGCTTTGGGACCCTGCACCCGCGTGGGAGACCCGGAAGAGGCTCCTGGCTCCTGGCTTCGAATCAGCATAGCATCAGTCATTGCACTCACTTGGGGAGTGAATCATCGGACAGAAGATCTTCCCCTCTGTCTCTCCCCCTCTCTGTATATCTGACTTTCCAATAAATAAATAAATCTTTTTTTTTTTTTAGAAAAGGACATTATGACCTTAGATCAATGAGCATAGCATTACAATTGATTGGATAATATTTGTATGATAACAACAAAATGGATACCTTTTGTATAACTGACTGGATATCATTTGTATGAGAACGGTTGAGTGGACAGCATGTGGACAAGAACACTTGGTGGAATATACAAAAAAGGAGTTCCAATCAAGAGTATGGAAACAGTCGATGGGCTTTGTTGATGAGCTCAATACTTCCTCCTTTATCCCATCTGTCCCTCAGCATATAAAGTCTGATGTCACTAATAAACTTCGGCTATTGACCATCAGTCAGAGTCCATGCGTGTTATTACCGGCTCCGTGCACCAAGTCCATCGCTGAGGGACAGCGACAGGTGGGAAGCTGGAGCTCAGCACCCTAGCACTGTGACACGGGATGCAGGTGTCCCAAGTGGTGTTTCCACTGCTGCCTCAAATGCTTGTTCCTCTGGACTTTCTGATGAGCACTGGCAGGACTTCCCTATGACAAAGTGCAAGTGCAATACCTCTAGATCACGCAATGACAGTAAAACGCAGTAAAATAATCAGGAAGTAACAATGATTTTGGAGTCTCTACTGCCTTTGCTTTTATACCATTTAACTGCAACCTGATAATTTTCTATAACGGCTTGCACAATAATGACCAGATTGCAAAATTCCTGAAAAAGTCAACAAATAGTGCTAAGCTGGTTCCAGCTCAGCAGAGCATATGCAGCTCTGCTGGTCACTGCTGTGTGACTGGGTCATAGCTGAAGTCACAAAACCGTGGGCTGTCCAGCAGCCCAGTTGGGGTGACAGCCGGCAGCCACTCTGACTCGGAGAGGACAGTGCATCTGGATGTGTCCATGTGGCTGTTTGCTGCATCTGCAGCTTTGTGCGTTTGCACGGAATGCTGCGGCTGCTGAGTGTGTTTTTCTGTCACGTGCGTCACTAACCGTGTCTCCTACACAAGCAGAGGCTGGGCTAGCTGCGTGTGTGGCTGTGACTGTCTGAGCCTGGAACCTGCCTGTCTGTGTGAAGCTGCTTCATTCGGTTCTCTCTCTGAGCATCCAACAAAGCGGACTTCAGCAACAGGCAGCCGACACCGGCCTGGGCTGCAACGTGGAGGATCCGTCTCATTTCAGGAAGTGCGCCCTGCTCTGCTGACCACAGCAGGCTGGGCCCGCCCTCGCTCCCCCGGCAGGCCCCACCTCTCCCAGCCACGCGCCCAGAGCTCTGTGCCCATTCCGTTGCCGCAGGAGTCCAAGGTGCAGACATGGCTGCCGACTGGCTCCGGCTGAAGGGACCCTGGAGCCAGACTTGCGTTTTTCCTGGAGGCAGGCGTCTCTCCGCACTTGCAGAAACTTTGCCCAGGGGACACCCTCTTCCCATTTCACGGAAGGAAGACCCAGAGCCAGGCTGGGAGAGGAGAGAGGTGGGCGTGGAGCCACGCAAGCAGGGGGCGGGAGGCAAGCACCCACTCAACCCTCGCTTCTTTTGCCCCACCGCAACCCACCCACCCCTCTCAGCACAAATTTTCTTCCTAGCCAAAGCCTTGGGATCTGTTAGTAAGGGGCTAGGAAAACCGGAATTCAACTCAGAATTCCCTGCCTCCTCCAGCCGGGGACACACGCCCTCGAACTTGACCCTCCCCGAGGGTCCCAGAGTGCACTAGAGTGGATAATATGCCACAGGGGCTGCCACAGGCTGCTACAGGCTCTCCCTACCGCTTCTGTTTCTTTCCAGGTCGAGCCCAGGTCCTCGGGCATCCGACGCCAAGTTTGCTCTGGCCCGGCCAGCTGCCAGGCAGAAGCAAAGATCACCCGTAGGATCAAATATTAACTTTCCGCCGGACCACCGCTGAGAGCTTTGGGAGAGCTGCAGGCCCTAACACTCCCCTTCCCAGCCCTCCAACACACGCAACGTCCACGGCCAAATCCCTGTCCTCCCCCTTCCCCCACCCTGCCCGCCTGGACCAGGCCTCCAGCCCGGCCCCCTTCCCCCGCCCCACACCTGTTCGGCTCCCGCCAGGCCGGCCCCACCCGGTGGCCAAGGGGAAGGAAAGTTGCAAACAGAACCGATCCCGCCGGTCGGCGGTGCAGGCTTGGAGCGGCGGGATTAAGCCCCTTTCTCTCCCCCCAAGTTTCTGTGCTTTCTCGGGACACCCAGAATCTGTCCCCTACGCCCGCGTCGTGAAAACGGAACTCCCGAGAAAGTCATCGCTCCAAGTTCAGCCCTCCTGGCCCGCCTTCCCGCCCGGCCCTCCGCAAACTGGCGGGGAGCGAAACCTTCCCGTCCGGCGCTTAGTGGCACCCTCTGTGCCTGCAGGATCGCGCAGGATTCCTGCACCGCATTCGCTTTCCCCGAAACCCGCACAAGCCCACCCCGGAGTAGTGTCGGGCAAGCGTCTTCCAGAGGTCCAGGGCCAGCCACCCTCAGCCGGCCTCTGGGTCCCGCACGCGCCCACGGGCACCCGGCCAGCCGGCGCCTCCGTGACTCCCAGGGCTGGCTCGCGCCGCGCCACCCGGGGGTGGGGACCGAGGCCCAAACCCCGTAGCCTCACCGTGCTCTTTCTGGCCACCATCTTCTCCAGCTTTTTGGCGATCTTCAGCAGCTCCTCTTCCTGGCCCATGTTGGCCCGACGACGCCCGGCGGGGCCAAGCGGGGCGTTGAGGCAACGGCCGAGCCTCGAGGGCAGCAGGCGACAAGGCCGAGGGCGCGCAACCTGCACGGGCCGCAACACACTCGACATATACACGCCTGGCGGGGGCGGGGCCGCCCCCACCTCCCGGTTCCCTCCCTGCCGTGGGGGAGGGGTGGCGTGCACTAAATATAGACTTCAAGGACTCGCCCGGGCAAAGAGTGCCGGCACCCGACTGCAGGGACTCGGGGAGGACCCGGGGTTGCGAGATGACACCCTTCGCGGAGAAGGGGGCGGGAGTTTTGGAGAGGGGGCTCCGAGGCTAGCTGGCAGGAGGTTGTTTCGGGCCAATGGAGGCTTTCGCGGCTCGCAGAGCACGTCCATGCGCCCCCGGGGAGCGTCCTGAGGTGCCTGGCACTGTCCCGCTGCAGCTCCATTCGCGAGGACCCAGCTCCGTGCCAGCGGTGCCCTCGGATCAGCGCCCGACGCCACGCGCCGGCTTTGCTGCTCCGCCCACACTGCCGGCCCCCCTGCTTTATTTGTTATACGGAACATCTGCATTTCCAACAAACCTTAGAGGGTGCTGCTGCGGTGAGTACACCAACCGAGAAGGGAGGTCTCCACCACTGGGCAGGCCCAGGACCTCCCCACCCTCATTGAGCAGTGGATGGGATTGGGGAGGGCGTGACCTTGGGCTTGGGGGTTTAAACCATTCCTTGCTAGATTCTGCCTGCTGCCTGCCTCGCCAGCGAGCTCTGGGGTATTGGTTGTTTGAATCGCTGCTTAGGTAGCTTCAGGTAGAACCCACTGTGCTTCTGGGGTGTGAATCAATTCCCAATGACTGTTACTCTTCCTTTGAAGAACTTGCAATCACTTAACAATGCTGAACACTAAACACCAGTCCATGCATAAGCTAAGGCTTGGGGCTTGTCCAGCAGGATATCCTATTACCTGACATGATGATGGATCAGCAGACAGGTCACATTAGGCAGGGCCATGACATTAACTAGCACTCGAGAACCATTTCCGGGGGTAGATTCTGTGGGGGATGTGTGGGCCAAACCCTGTGGAAATGCTAGCTTGGTTAGCTCAAGAGTTGGGGTGGTGATGGACTAAGCTAGGTGTGAACAAGCAGCCTGCCATCAATCACAGGTAAAGGAACCCACAACTGTCTGGATTGGTCAAGGCAGCACACCCAAATGTGCATCCTGAATAGGGTTTGGGGTGGGCCGGGTTGCAATATTCACCAGCTCATACAAGGCCAAATGGAAGGCCAGACTGCACTGGGCACTGGCCCTAAACCCAATGGCATGTGTGAGAACTGGGTCTGGGAGTGGATCAAGTGGAGGAACTTGGGAAACTCCCCTGGCAAGTCATAGCTGCTGCTGGTGAATGTGTGGTCCAGACTTGGGGATCAGACAAGTGGGCAAAGTAGCTCCAATGGCTGGGCAATGTATGAATTGGTAATGGAACGGGGTGTACTGGGCAGGACTGAGCAAACCTTAGTCCACAAGCAAAACTAGAAAGCAGGATGGAGCACAGGTCATGCCGAGCTAGGCTCTTGCACCTACTGGTGTGCGTGAGCCAGGGATGCTAAGCCACAGTGTCTAAGGCAGAGGTCGGCACAGGTGAGGGGCTGAGCCAAGCTGAGTCAGAGCAACCACTGGCATGCGCACGTTCTAAGGCTGGGAACAGGCCCAGTTGGGGAGCTAAGGGAACACCCTAACTGGGTTGAGGTTCCCACCAAGGGGCGCATGGGCTGGAATGGGGGTCTGCGTTCTGATCAGGAAATGGTTGTAGTCTCCCTTGGCACAAGTGTGGACTGTGACTGGACGCACCAAGCTGGGCCAGACTCCAACACCGTCTGGTGTCCTGGAGGACCAGGGCAGATGTGGGACAGACTAGGCTAGTCTCAACCCCTACTAAACCATGTGTGAGCTGTATGTAGGTATGGACGAGCCGTGACTGGGCTGGAACATCCAACAGCAAGAACCAGTTTGGGTTGAAGGCCAGTCAGGAAAAGCTACTGTTCCTGCTAGGACAAGAGGTGAACTGAGTAGGGCTGGCTCATGGCCCCCTGGTATGTGCAAAATCTGGCCTTGGGAGGGGTTCTGATGGAGGAGCCTGGGAAACTCCTCTGGCAGGACACAGACCCGGCAGGTGAGCGCAAGAAGCATGATAGGAAACAGCCCAGAACAGGCCATGGGAGGTTTCCACTGGCATACATTTGGCATGGGTCGGGGGCAGACCAAGCTGAATCAGTTCACGTCATCCCTTGGCAAATCTGAACACCAGAATAGAGTGTGGGTTGAGTCAGGTTTGGTCGCGACAAAAACCAGTGCACAATACGGAATGCCAATGTGAGGTTGCCTGTACCAGATGTGACCGCAGTGCCCAACCAGCACGTGGGAAAACAAGGGGAATATTTGGAGGGGTTCCCTTGCTGGACAGCTACTCCCACTGGAGAGTGTGAGCTGGGATGGGGGCAGACCAGACTAAGCAGGGCTACAACACCTGTGTGCCTCATGTGGACTAAATCATGGAAAAGCCAGGCTGGGCTGATTATGCCTACTGGTGCAAACAAAATTAGAGTGGTTGAGGGCTGTTTGGGCTTAGCCGCAGCATCAGCTGGCAGAAGCTGGCACTGGGGGCTAATCCTGTCAAGCCAAACCACAGAATTACCTGGAGAGTGCATCATCCGGGAGTGGGAGAGACCTGGGAGGGAAACAATGGGCTCCTCCCTCTTGGGTTACCACACCCACGGGGCAGGGGCACGAAAACTAGGACTGGGGCTGGGGTGGCTAGACAGAAAGGCACCCAACAACATCTGTGTGGGCTCTATAGTAGAGCTGGTTAAATGGAACTAAGCTTTAACACCCATTGACATGTACAAGAGCCAAATGGGATGTGGGACAGACTGGACTAGTCTGCTACACATACTGGAAAACCCGGGTAGGGGGCAGGCCTGGTGGGGGTTATTGTGGGTTGCTCCCAATTGGATGCCACTCCCACTGGTTTATTTGAGGGCCAAGTGTGTGCTGGGCAGAGCCAGGCTGGACTGCAACACCCATTGGTTTCAGTGGAAGTTGGGGCTGAAAACAGAACCAACCCAGCAATTGCAACCACCAGCTGATCAGGGCAATGGGCTGTGCCGGGCCCTGTGCTTGCTAGTACATACAAGAATCTGGTCTGGAACAAAGTTTCTTTGGGGATCTCCCCAATCAAAATGCCAGGCTCACAACCCTAACCATGAAAAGTCAGAGGACAGAACAGGTCAATCAACCACCTCAGCTATATATGTTGGCAACGAAATACTGGGCAAACGGAGACTCCATGCTGGACTATGTCAATCAGTGGATTCTTCAATGATCTCATCATGCTTGGTGTGGCGAGACTGGCAGCGATTCACAGCTGGTGAACTATCCAAACCACTTGAGCAAGTATCTCAGAGCATGCCCCACATCCGGGACCTGGGGTGGGTGGGAGACTGGTTGGGGCTTCTTCCTCAGTATCTCCCTTTACCTCAGATACATGAAGGAAACAATATGGAAATAATAGTCTTACCCACTTTCCTATTGCCCTTGAACCTTTTTTGCCCTAATTAACTATGTGAATATTGTCAAAAATATAATAAAAAATTAAAAAAAGAAAGTTGCTTGCTTCAAACCAACCAATAAAAGCCTGGTAAATCATGACTATATAATTAATTGTCTAAAATGCATAACAATGCTGGGCTATTGATGCATAAAAAAAAAAAGTGCTGGGGGTCCCAGGATGGCTTGGATGCTGAGGCGCGCCAAACATTGCCAGCTGCTGGTCTAGGGACGTGGCGTCCCGGTTTTTCCAGGATCATTCAAGCCAGAGCCTGTCCAAGGGAGGTGCACTTAAAAGTCACCTGGCAGGGACGGGGCAAGGGAGGAACTGCAGCTAGCTCTGTTCCCCAGCTCACACTCCTGCTTTCTGTGGGTGGACCTCCCAGGGGACTTGTTTTTTTCTTAATGGGGTAAATTTAATGGACAGAAAAGGTGCATTCTGTGAAGCGACTAGAGACCCAGGAACGCGTAGGGGGGTCCTGCAAAGTGCCATTCAGAGTGCCTGCGTGGGTGGGCTGGGCTCATGCCTAGGGTGCCCAGTGAAAACTTCGGTTCTTCTTTGGAGCACCCCACAGACAGAGCTAGGGAAGAGTCAGGAAGAAGTGGAGGGCACCTTAAAGGCTCCCTTGGGGGAACCATCTTCTCTGCAAAAGCCAAGCCCTTTGGATGAAGGGACACATGTCTGTGGTCTCTCAGGATTGTCCTTTAAAACAAAAAATGTAGGGCTCGGCAGCGTGGCCTAGTGGCTAAAGTCCTCGCCTTGCACGCCCAGGATCCCATATGGGCGCCGGTTCTAATCCCAGCAGCCCCACTTCCCATCCAGCTCCCTGCTTGTGGCCTGGGGACCCTGCACCCGTGTGGGATACCCAGAAGAAGTTCCTTGTTACTGGCTTCGGACCGGCGCAATACCAGCCGATGCCCTCACTTGGGTAGTGAATCATCGGATGGAAGATCTTCCTCTCTGTCTCTCCTCCTCTCTGTATGTCTGACTTTGTAATAAAAATAAATAAATCTTTTTTTAAAATGGATTTTTTTGAAAGTAGAAGTTTTAGAGAAATCTTATCCACTGGTTCACTCGTCCAATCGCTCCGCCAACCACAGCTGAACCTGGAGCCTCTTGTTCCTCTGGATCTCCCTCATGGGCAACTGGGCGTGAAACACCTGGATCAAGTAGCTGGACTGGGACTTGAGCAGCCAGGACACAACTGCTGCCCACAGGGGATACACTGGTGGTTTCACTGCTGTACCACAACACTGGCCTTAGGATTGCCTTCTTTTAAAAAGGGATTTGATTTTCCTCAAGTTTATCACTTCTCGGCCTTCTGCCTAAGGTCAAGTGTAATTTTCCTCCAGTGTCCACTGAGTTCCTCCTTTGAGCTGTGGGACACCAAAAGAAACCAGGACTCCTAAATAACTGTAAGGAAATGGGTTCAGCCTCCCCATTCTACTGATGGGAAGACTGAGCCCAGAGGGTGGTGATCCCTCAGGGTCGCAGGTACACCCGACACGGCTGGACTGCTCCTTTCCCTCAGCACC